GGGGGGGGGGGGGGGGGGGGGAAGGGGGGTTGTCGTCATGCGCAATGTCATTCTGTGTGCGCTCCACATTCAACCGTGCGATGGAAGCCGAGGCTTCCATGATGCATGTCTTTGTCGATCAAGGTCCCGCAGCCTGCTGTGCAGGAAGTGTAGGCGCAGAGTAGGCCCCTGTCAGCAGGTCAGGAGGTCAAGCATGTGGGTATGCTTGAATACTCACAGTATTGCTAACCGCTCACCTCTATCCGCAGGCAAATCCTCGCTGGTGGTGCGTTACGTCGAAGATGCATTTGTAGACTCTTACTATCCCACCATCGAAAACGTGTTCAACAAGCGGGTCAAGCATCGCAATCAAGAGTACGACTTGGACATCATTGACACAGCAGGTCAAGACGAGTATAGCATATTAAATTCCAAGCACGCTATCGGTATACATGGCTACGTCTTGGTCTTCTCCATCGCCAATAGGAACAGCTTCGATATGGTGCAGACTGTGTACGACAAGATTCTCAATTATACAGGGACGGAACACGTGCCTTGCGTCATTGTCGGGCAGAAGTGCGATTTGCACGTTCAAAGGTGAGCTCACGCGGCCGGAATTGGTCGAAGTGTGGGAAACAGGACAAATTGCCCGAGCTTCGAGTAAAGTGAGCTCATTCGTCTCCTTGCGACTCGGTCATCCTGCAGGCAAGTGACGGAGCAGGAGACAGCGGAATTAGCAAGTCAGCTGCATTGCGCGTGGATAGAAACGAGTGCGAGGCACAACATCAACATCTGTGAGTACGCCTTTTCGGCAGCACTTGTCCGGGCAATGGTCACCAGGTGTTCAAGAAGCGCGACGAAGAATGGCAATGGCGGCAATCCTCACTCAAAGAGTTCCGGTTTGCTTTGCGTGCCCCTTACAGCCAAAGTGTTCGAACTGATGCTCGGCGAGACGGATGGAAATACGGAAGCGGGCAAGACGGAGCCGGAACCTAGCAAGTGCTGCGTCATGTAAAGAGGTGCCTTTTTGTGTCTTCGGGTTCAAGTGCGCAAATTGTCCTACAATGAGGGTTGCGCACGCCTCGCCTTTTCCGAGCTGCGAGTCAGGCCAAAACAAGTTCACACAATTCTAGATTTTGGAGGCCGCGTCACCCGTTCGCTCAGGATCCCTGCCCTCTCCTACACGCCATGCATTCTTGTGATCGCAAGATTGCGACCCACTTTCGACGGGTTCCAATCTCCCTCTGCCCTTTTCTTGCTCTCAAGAATCTTCTACGAATACGCCTCGACCCTACCCACCTACTCTTGGAGTCTCTGCATTTTTGCTCTGGCACTACATACGCCGCGCACCGCCAATCTCCGTCTCTCAAGCTCATCTGTCCCGCCATCTCGTTAATGTCAACTCGGATCCACATCTCAGTCCCCTTTTGTCTTGTGCGCAGAAATGTGCAGTGCGCGCACAAGCGTTTTGAACATGCGTGACTACTTGATGCGGATTGGATAAATGTAAGAGGACCCACGAAGGGGGTGGGATGTTGTGCACATGACTCGTGAATGGGTGCTGCGGTGCGGGCGGGAAGAGCGGAGCGGAATGCGTGCATGATGGCCGACCAGGTCAAGTGCTCGTCCAGTCGATATCCTTCACCCCTCGCCTCCTAGCAGCACCTCTCGAAGAAGCAGAAAGAGCCCGTGTAGAAGCCGAGCTCATCGGATCTTGGCGTGTGCCGCTTGGTGTCGGGAGCATCTCTGCAGATCCAGATGCGGCAGGATCGACAGTGCCAGGTGGACCTCTTCCCCAACTGTGCAGCCTTTCGAGTTCGTGCGGGTCCGCACAATCTGCGCCAGATCCGCCTGCAGTGCTACCTCCGTTCGAGGCTGGCAGATCAGGTACGGGGGCGGATCTGCCCAAGGTCTGGCGTGCCAACTCTGCGGAAGGTCTTTCGGGTGGAGAAGCGGCCAAATGAGGCTGCGTATGAGGATGCCTACCTCTAACGCTTCCTGTTGCTCCTGCTTGAGAAGTGGACGTTGCGTTTGTATGAGCCCCTTCGAACGATGCTGCCACTTCTTGATACCCCCTCTCCAATGCTTCTTCCAGCTTGATACGCCCTCGCAGCGTGTCGCTGAAGAGCTGGCCCCAGCCCGCACTCGATGTGCTTGACCCACCCTGCGTAGCGCGAGCAGGCTCACCACCCTGAACCCCTCGCAGCGGCGGTCTTCCCTTCCTTGCAGCAGAAGAGCTTCCCTGATTCGTTCCGCCTGCAGGTCCAGAGCCGGGCATTGGCACGCTGTCACTGATAGGCCTAGCCCAGTTGCTTGCAGGACCAGGATTAGGAGGCAATCCAGCGGCCAGATCGTCCAGCACCGAATTGCCGGGGATCAGAGGAGCATACACCCTTTTGTTCTTGCCACCTTTGCCCCCGTACGCATGCGCTACTTTTCCCGAGGTGTGCGCCTTCAAGGATGGCTCTGGCGCGTCGTTCCATCCGTTGTATCCGGCATTGCTCGTTCGCAAGGCAATGGAAGAAGTGTTTTCAAAGGATGGAGCGGAGAGTCCCGACGTCTGGCTCGGAGGTTTGGAGGCACGCCCTTCTATTTCGTTTGCCCCGGCGCGCGAAGCTCCAAACGTCCACTTGTTGGGTTTCCACTCGTTCGCGCCGCTCATTCGCAGTGATGAGGTCACACTGCTGCCGCTCTCGGCATGAAGCGCTCCGGGAGATTGACTATTGAGGTTCGCACTTGAATTCTCATCGGCTGCTTCAGCTTGAGATCCCGCAGTGCTGTTGAAGCTGTCTTCTCGACCATTGTCACCGAGCATCCTAGCCTTCTCTGCTAACCTCAACAGGTCGTCCACGCCGCTTTCGCCTGGGGCAATGTCCTCAGGCTCCTCGAACGTGGAGCCTGCGCTGGCTTCGTCCGAGCCTTCCAGCGGGCCTCGTGCTGTGCCTTTGCTGCCAGAAGGAGCTGGAGGGGGAAAATGACTAAGAGCTTGGACGGGTACACGCTTGACCCTTGGTGGTGCGCCTGGGACGATGCTACTGCTCGTGGCCGAGCTCGTAGCACTTATGGTACTGTCCGTGCGTTGCCTGAGCATAGATTCGCTAGCTCGAGGCATCAAACGCCTCTGCGTGGGTCTGTTGGGATGGTCGACATCTGGCTCTTCGGTAGCTGGCAGTGGTATGCGGAATGCTGCGGGGCTAGCCTGCGAGGAGTTGCTACCGCCCGCCTCTGACGATTCGACCTCTTCGGGCGCTGAAACGAGCCCAAAATTGGTCATCGGGCCGATGCTCCCGTTCGAGGTTGCGGCATCTTTGCTTTCCAAACCTTCCACACCTCGAGTGCATTTATCCAGGGGAATGTAAACAAGCCGCCTCGCCTGCACACTATCGCCTGGCCATAGTCCATTGGCCTGTCTGAGCGTTCGCGCATCCGTGCCGTACCTGAGCGCCAGACCTTCCAGGGTGTCGGCAGGTTGCACAAGGTGCTGTATCACGAGTCTCGAAGTTGCTGAGCTAGCTGCTGATCTGCTCTTTGGCGCTAGCAAAGTGGAGATGGGAGTCGAGGAGGATGCGACTGTTGCCGTTGCACTGCTAGCACTCGCATGTCGGTTTGCTTTACCCGAGACGCCAATGCCGTGCAAGCTGTCCAGCGTGGCTTCCGGCTGAATGCCAAACCAGCCTTCTATCCTTTGCAGAGCGGTTCCTTGGAAGGGCAGCGTATGACCTTTATTTTGGCTCTCGTCATCCTCTAGCCTGCTCGAGCTGCTTCTCTGCCCTTCCTGCGCATCTTGTGCAGGTCTCCGTCTCCTCGAGATATTTGGACTGGGAGATCGAGAAGCCCTGGCGTGAGGTGATGGAAAGAGAGGGTGCAGCGTTGAGGTAGCTGAAGGACCTGCGTCGCTACTGTCTGCTTGATCCGACACAGATTGGGCATGTAAAGTGTCCGTCTCGTGATTCGTTGTCTGAGGACTAGCAGCACTGGCTACTCGTCGCTGCATGCTGGACTGCTCAAGTGAGAGTGCCCTTCCGAGCGATGCTACTGGTCTGCAGATCGCCGCACCAGAGCATATAGCGACACTTTGAGGCTGTTTGCGTGTGGTTATGGCCAGAAGTAGCTTCGCCGCACGAGCATGAGCGCATCAGATGGATAGATGAAATGTCGGTCTCTGTATCGCGGATTGAACCCGGGGCGCTTCAGCTAGTGGGCTGATCGAGGCCTCTCTTCAAAGTGAGAGTGTCGCAACAAATCGAGCGTTTTAGAGAGCTACGGGCGCAGAATGGCTCTCGTGAGCGTCAGATCGGGAGCAGTGCACGCTACAAGAGACGCAAGTCGTAGCCTGATCGAGGTGGTGCAGAAGGATCATCAGGAATCCGGCGGCCACTTACACGTCGAGGGCGCTGCGCTTGCTGTTGCTCCGCTCCCTCACTCGCGCTATACTCACACTCTGACTACCACCACCAGCACCCATATATCTACCGCTGCTAGCTGCTGCTGCTGGTGCTGCTGCTGCATGTTGCCGTCTGAAGCGGGGGACGCTGCTCCTGCAGCCTGGTGCCGCCGCCGCTGGCTTGCTATAGTCGCACTCATCACGGCGGGCGCAGGCACGGACGTGCTGCGCCGTGCGCGCGCGTGCCGGCGTTGCGGCGTCGATCGTGAGTCAGAGTGTGTGTGTGCATGCAGCAGCCAAATTAAGTCACGAGTGGCACGCACGGTGCGTTATTGCGACGATTTCGTCGTGACATTCACCAGCATTCACGATTCTTTATTCACATTTTGATTCAAGATTCTCATTCACGATTCACGATTGGTAGTGATGGCTACGCTGCGCTCCTCCTTCTTGCCGGCATACGCACCCACACCCACGAGTTCTGATGCGTAATTCTATTGCATGCGAGCTTCAACTGATTTTCCGACCAGGTCACACTCCACTTTGACTCGTGACTGTAGCTCGACCATCTCGTCGCGCCTCCAGCTCGGTCCTTAGCAACGTCAGGACCATGATGGGCAGCATCAGGTATAGCAGATGTGACAACGTGCACGGATGAAGGAAGACGGGTGATGTCACACCTGTCATGCTGCTATGCGCAGGGTGAATGAGGTGAGTCGTTCGTGCATCATTCGTATCAGAGCTTGTATCCCGCGCTAGACAACATCCAAGAAGCAAAGTCACACACATCAGTCATGGACTCATGATCGAGAAAATGCCGCATTTTGATTGTAATGAGTCGAGTTTGAAGATGCGCTGGCTGACCAGGTTGAATCGTGATCGATGGACAGTTCAGCTTCTATATGTCGTCGGAACAGAGCGGGTCTCTGGTATTCCCATTAAAGTCACATGAACCAGATGATAGCACACATTCGATTCCCGGATGACCCCAGTCGGCATCAATGGTGCCCCCGGCCGCATCGAGTCTCTGCGAAAAAGCGTGAGATGTACACCTGACCGTGAAATGACGACTCACGACTGCGAAAGCAGAACCAGCAAGATAGCGTCACCAAGGCCACGGCTAAGTTGCGAGTGCACCTGCACACCACGTACTCACGACTATGTCGTGGTGCACGGGGTTTTGCATGTGCGTGGGCGCGCGATGCTGCTGCTGCTACCATGTCGTTCATGTTTCAGCCTCTTGACTCATGTGCGAGTAGATATCTATGAACGCCTTTTGATCGTGACGGCGCGATTGAGCAGGCGTCACATTGCCATGCAGAGGTCGTTCCATGTTGATCTGTTCTCCATGCATGCAGGTGGACCGACGAAGTGAGCATATTTCTCACATTGTTGCTCGCACGAGGTGAGAATAATGCGCAAAGAGGTCGTGCGACCTATAGCTAGGACGACTTGCGGCGACTCAACACCCCGGGCGCAGCAGGACGCCCTTGTCAGAATCACCAATGACGAAAAGCAGTGGGATGTTGATGATCAAGTCGAAGTCGCAGCACTGCGCGGGGGATCGTCAGCATCAGTCAATCAAGTCAGCAGTCAAGGTCAATCAATCAATCAATTTGTAAATCAGTCAATCAATCAAGCCTCTTTGCCGAGTATTATATATAGGTATAGCGCTTTCTCACAATCCGCAGCTCCACTGGATTCCCTCAGATTGCGTAACCACATTGCTCTCATTCTTCTGTGACCCTTTATCGCGCACCCCTTCCGCACACCGCAAACTCGTATACTCTCGACCTGACAGCTCCCATCTCCCTGCCTCTGTAAGTGCCCATCTATCCAGACATGCCGACTGTATCAACCAAACGACAATTCTGCTCGCCTCCCAAAATGACGACTACTCCGAAAAGATCAGCGTCTGCAGACACATCTCTCCGACTGCGATGCTCGTCCATCGATCACTTCGACGGCTTCATCGCAGCAGACGTCGCTGCAAAAGACGAAGCAGATCCCGTCATTGTCGACTGTGAAATGGCAAAGCAAGCATCACCGATGTGCGGCGAGAGCGACGATGAGATGGTTCTGAGCGGCAAAGTGACAGAGGACGAGGCTGAGGCTGAGGCTGAGGCTGAGTACTGCACCGAGGAGCAGCAAGAACCGGAGGCAGCCGTGTTGGACGATGAGAACGCCGGAGCACCTGAATCAGAGGGCGATGAGGATGGAAAGGCGCAAGAAGCTCAAGATCGGGATGACAACGTCCTTGCCTCTCCGCGTCGATCACAGCGAGCTCGTCAAACAGCGCATCATTTTGCAAACTCTTCGTGGGTCCCTTGGCAAGACTTGCGCAACAGTCGGGTGACTCTTGAGCCCGAACGGGCTGCTGAGCCGGTCGCTCGCGCACCAAGAGTTGCTTCACCTCGCAAAAGACCTCGCGGTCTGAAGAGAAAGCGTGGAGCACGAGGAGGAGGAGGATCGGACGCTGCCGATGCGAGCGAAACAGCAGCGGATGCGGCCACTGAGAGCCATGCGGGAGCAGCAGGCGAGGGAGATCAGCAGGGATATGGCGTGGAAGCGATCCTCGGCCATTCCTACCGGTTCGACGAACTGTGGTTCGCCGTAGAGTGGGAAGATTGCGACTTTGGCGAGGGTGAGTTGACCGACGGTCGACCACCGACTTTGCAATGCAGAGTCTCGCTGATCGTTTCTGCATTCGAATGTGATGCAGCTCTCTGGCAGCCCGCCGCCAATCTGGTCACGCACTGCGGTAACCTTGTCGACGAATACAAGGCGATGCTAGCCTTTAAAAGGTGGTACAGGCGCTGGGCGAGTCGGCAAGCTGGGGAGGCAAGACGATGGGCTCGGCGATTCTGGAATGCGCAGCAGGGCACCAACGGCCCCTTGTCGCGTGTAAGTACTCATGGTCTTGTTCGACACACCTCATGGTGGCCAACGTTGACGTTTGTAGTCATCGTGACAGGAGCCGCCTCTCGAGTCCGCTGATTGGGAGATTCCCGACTTGATCGCATTCACCAGCGATCTGGCGGACCTCTGATCCCTGCGAGGTGAGCATGCCACGGCAGAATTCGAATCGTGTGACACCATGCATTCGGGGCGCTCACGGCCAACACCGCTGGACATTCATGTCTGATAGCAACGATCACCACGCGCCTCCTCCGCGCGCTTGCCAATTCGGAGTAGAATCCTGCAAGAATGAGATGAGAACCTTGGATCCGGTCTTGGATGATGGGAGACGCGACGAGATCGCGATCAGTCTCTACTGGCGCGGACAGCCGCAAAGTTGACGGTCACACTCACTTGCAAAAGCGGATGCCCGGCCACGGTCACTAGAAATCTTTCGAGCCCTTCCCTCCTGGCTTCGATGACTTCGTCACTGAACCTATTTGTGAAGACCTTTCCAGGCAGCGTCGGAATGTTGACCCGGGTCGACTCCCTTTCTAGTACATCCCTGAAGTACTCGAAGTCAGAATACCGTCGTCGAACGCTCGAGTAGCGCAGTCTGAATGCCGGAATGTTCGTCTGTTGCATCGACGTTGATTGAGTTGTGGTCAGATCGAAAAGGCTCTCGGCGTCGATCGGATGAGTCAAACTTATCATGCTGGCTCCACTACTCACTCTCGTGACTATCTCATAGTCAGTGTACTGCTTGCGGCCAAAGGCTGTGTACAGAGCTGAAGATCAGCAAAACGAGCGAGATGGATGCGTGGCGGATGTCTAATCCGAATGCTCAGGCAGCAAAGACGGCACCAGCGCCTACACTTACAACAAGTCCTCGGATCCTTCACCTCTACCTCCAAGAAGTTTTCCGGCACCCCATACATCTCCTCCGGGTTGTCCCTTCGACCCGCCAAGCTATCCACTCGGGCAAAGGGAGAGTAGGCCGGTGTAGGAGGAATGGCTGCGGGAGAGATCGGAAGAGATGTTTGTGGATGAAAAGCTTGTTGCTGAGACGGTGCTGCTGATGATAGAGGCGATCGAGTATCGTTGGGCGTCAGTGTGGAAGAGGGAGTGTTGAAGCCTCGAGAAGAAGGGGCGAAGGCAGAGGATGAATTTGGAGGTGCCCGGCCGGACTGGTTGCCTCCCGCTGCACCACTGCCTACCAACGCGCTCGCCGAGTGACCCTGACCTTGCGATTGCTGATAAGGTGATTGTTGATATGGAGATGCTCCGCCGTACGTACTCGACTCGTATCCGCCTGATGGGCGGCCTCGATAGTCGTATGACCCGTCGCGAGAACCACTACTGGGAGCGGCCGAGGCGGGCGGTGGCCTTCCACCGTAACCTTGCTGCGACGCAAAAGAAGAGTCTCCACTTCCACTGCTGCTTCCAGCAAGTCTCTGTTGCGTGTTGCCATCGAGCGTACCTGCGCCAGCTATGCCGCTTCCCCAGCTCTCGTTACGATTGATGGGAGGAGGTGCGCTCCTCGCGAATGGGTTTGCTCGTGGAGGCGGAGCAGCAGCATATTGAGGAGCGCTCCAACCTCCCCCATCATCCACTGCTGGTACTTCGGAGGGTAGCTCCGCAGTGAAGCCGTCATTGCCATGACTGCTAGACCCGCCGATGCCAAATGTCCCGCCTGTGCCTAGGCCAGTAGACGGGAAACCTGCAGAGGTACCGCCCCCTCCACCAAGGCCGGTCGAGGGGAATCCGCTGGATGAGCTGCCGAAGCCGTTGCTGCTCAAGCTGCTCGGTGGAGCTCCCCATGGATGCTCGTCATCCAGAGCTGGCCCTGCATGAGAGTCGCTGTTCCAGGCCATGAGGTGCGGTGGGTGACTGAAAGCTGAATGGGAAGGTCGGCAAGCTGCCCGTTGTCAGCGATCGGGTCGATGTGCAGTGCGAGTCGTCAAGCAGGGGTGTATGGACGTCAGGTATTTGAGTCGTGTGGGGAGAGTCAGGATCAACAATCTTGAATCGAGACTGCACACCTCGAGCAGCTACTCGTGACTGGTGCAGGCGGCCATTATCGGCCGTCGCTGGAGCCATGACGCCAGAAGATGCAGGCACGCCACAGTCGCAAGTCGCCAGGCGAGTCGACCGTGCTGCACCCGCACTGGCTGAGTGCTGGTGTTCTCGCGCCACGTGCTGCTGGCTATCGACTCGGCTGCACGGCCCCCTGGCTCGACGTGCATCGCTCAATCGTGAATCGCGCTCAATCCCCGGAACAGGTGAGTCGGTACGCTCCTTACCAACACTGTTCAAACCTCGCACCACCACCACAGCAGCGCTGACGTCTACGATCAGCATGGGCAGACTTTGCCCGAGACTCAACTATACCTCGAACACGATGCGCAGCACTGTCTTCGGCGCAGCAGCCGTGCTGCTTGCGACGATCACATCAGCTCAATCCGCCCCACGCACGGCCTCGCTGCACCTCTTCCCCTCCTCCATCTCCGACGACTACTCGATTCCCGAAGTCTCTGCTTCTCAGGTGCACAAGCTGCTCAGCTATCACCTGTCCATTCCGGGCGAGAAGTTGGACGGCGCTCATTGGGCTCATCCAGAGGCTTGGCGATGGATCGATGAGAAATCCAGGCCGAGCGCAAAGGATCTCTTTGGTGCTTCTGAGCAGGACCTTCGAAAGGCCATCATTGTATTGAGGGCAGACGATGCTGGTGAGCAGAAAGCTGCGGTCAAAGTATTCCCCGAGTCTAGCAGCCAACGATGCTCACTTCGATGCCCGCTCGTCATCCACTGCAGATCTGATCCCTAGGCATCTGGCGCAGACCCACAAAATATCTCAGCCACACAACGAAGAGAATTGGGATGCCCTCTTCGATGTGTATGCGGAAAGACTGGGCGGTCTGACGGGAAGCTTGATCCATGCGGCTAGTCGCGCAGCAGAAAGGCTATCCGATTGGGCTACGGGCTCAAGCGAGGAGGACCGAGCCGAGCGCACGGTGAGTGCTCGCAAAATTCGCCTACGTGGGCGGGAGTCCTCCGCTTACGTCTTTAGCCCACGTTTGTAGTTTCAAGATGTTTTGAGGGAGAGCGCTACATCTTTGGATAACGGCGACGCCTCTTTCGAACTCCTCCGTTTTGACAGGGCACTTGAAGGCATTTCTCAGCAGTCTGGTGACGCTAGCGACGATCTCGATGCAGCGCGCTCCCAGATCAAAGAGCAGATTGAGACTTTGTTCTCTTCTGCTCGAACCGCAGACAACAGACGCAGTATCGCGCTTCTTTTGATTCCCACCAGCGAACAAGAAGAGGGTCTTGCCAAGCGACAGGTGCAGGACCCTTTGGCGCCCTTTGGTATCACGAAGCGAGCGGACCGCTGGACGGATGGTCAGGGTTCTTGGTCAGAAGCTTCCTCATCAGGAAGCGAGACCTTGTGGAGCCTTAGCGACAGCCTCAAGAACTCCAGCAAGCCGCCCAAAGAGTCCGACTACGTGGGAAAGTGCTTCTCATCTGAGTCTGATCTGAACAAAGCGACAGCAGATTGTTCTGGAAGAGGCAAAGCGGTTCTGTCGACCAAAGGCGCAAGACGTTGTTATGTTTGCCAATGCTCCAAGACGAAGGAGAAGGGAAGTTCGACTTCTTGGGCGGGCGAAGCTTGCCAAAAGGTGGACCTCAGCACCAGCTTCACGCTGCTCGCTACTACCACCGTCGGTCTTCTCGCCACCATCTTTATGAGCATCAGCTTTTTGGTCAAGGAGGGGAACAGAGAGCTTCCTAGCGTCCTTACTGGTCTCAGTGGTGCGAAGCATTAGGCCAGACTGTCCATTTCTCACTCTTCGCCATCCGAGGAAGGAGTCAATCGATGATTGCATACGTATTCTTGGCCGTGATACTACAGGGTATTTGACATCTGGGTGCGATTCGTACAAGCGTGATCGCTAATGCCCCCACCAAGCCACCCACTTCTCTTCATCTGCTTCCAAGCCCCACGACGATTCTTCGCCAGGCCGAGCAAGGTGAATATGCCAAATTCCTCCTTCCTCTACCTGCCCATGAGTAATGATGGGTATCTCGAGCGGTCTTCCATTGATAGTGAAATGCAGGATCCTTCTGGGTTCGGCAGGTGCGGACGAATCCCCTTGTGCGCCTCCAGGCTCGTCGACGGAGCCATGCACGATGATCACTAGCTTGTGATCTTTGATGTGAGGCAGCTTAATGGTCACTTTTGAGAAGAATGGTGCACTTGAGGTTGATCGCAGCAGCGAATGGAGATGAGAAAGGGGGGGGGGGGGGGGGGGGGGGGGGGGGGGCACGTGAGCAACGGACGACTTGACCGACAAAGCTTTGCTGCATGTCACGACTCACCCCACGACGACATACTTCGCACTGGCAGGGTATAGAGGATAGAACCCGAAGGCGCTAATAAAAGTGTACCAGCTGCTCATCTGTCCCAGGTCCTCGTTTCCCTTGTACCCATCCGGCAAATCCGTGTACTCCGCTTGCGCAATATCTCGTATTATTTTTGCGCTCTTGTCAGGTCTACCAAGTGCTGCATACAGCACGGGCACATGGTGAGAGGGCTCGTTGGAATGGTCATTGTACCCGCCCTCAAAGTAGTCGTCCAGCTTCTGAAGAGTTGCCATTCTGGATCCGTGCAGTCTTACTAGACCGGGCAGGTCGTGAACGACGTCGAACAAGTATGTCCACCTGTTTCCCTCGGTAAAGCCATCATCTCTGGCCTTGGGGTTTTGCAGAGGAGCTTCGAAAAAGCTTCCGTTTGCAAATCGAGGAGCAAAGAAACCGGTGGCATTGTTGTACACGTTCAAGTAATTTTGCTTCGCTCTAGCGCGATAGATAGCCGCAGAAGACTGATCACTCATGTGCGAAGCGACGATTGCGACTGCTGCATCGCAAGCTGCATAGTCTAACGTGCGACTGACAGACTCTGCAGTCCGATCATGTGCTACCCAGCCTCGACTCGCGTAGGACGTTAAGCCAGCTCGCGCCTCGATAGGCGTGAACTCCTCCCTGTCCTCGTACTGAAGGAAAAGGTGAGGAGTCAGTCTGCATCAAGGTGAAGTGGCGTTCACCTCACCGGGCGCACGACTTACTTTGAGAATCTCATCAAATTCGGGTGGCACGCTAGCATCTTTCAACACAGACTGCGCGCTCGGACAGAGGTTGCTGGTCGAAGAAATCCCGCATGACTAAAGTCGGGCCCGACTAACTCACCTCCAACGCCAATTCACGATTGAAGCCAGTGACCTTCTTTGCAAACGCCTCTGCGATTAGCGAATCAGCCCAAGTCGAGATCATGATGCTTCCTCGCGTTCGACCGAGCATCAGTATACCGACCGTGATGTGCCTCTTCTGAAGGATGCTGTCCGCACTCACTTTGTCTCTGCTCCATTGGCCCACATTGGCAGGTATCCGGGTTCACCGTTCTTACCTGATTGGAGATACATGTCGAGCATGCTAGAGACCATCGAACCGACTCGATGGTTAGCGAATAAGATCTGCATTGCCCAAGCTGCACGCCAAGTATCCCAGATCGAATACGATTGATACGCTTCGCCTTTGTGGACGCTGTCGGTGTAGAGCGAGTAGTAAGCCGATCCTTCGTCCGCTGACTCGCTATGCAAAGATGGGAACTGCAACGTGCGGTGCAGTCCTGTGTCTGAGGTTGTGGATGAAGATTCAGGTGCTGCATCACAATTCCACAAAAGAAATACCACATTCTCACACAAGACACGCTTCTGAACCAAATTGCCGCCTTCAGTTTCGACGACTGACAATGCAGCGTCCCATTCGCGGGTGTTCTGAAGTGCAATGTCATCCACATCTTGTGCCGAGCTGAGCTCACTCTCCAGATTGCGGCGTGCTTGATCGATGGCTGGGTAAGGCTGGGCACAGCTCAGGAACACGGCCGCTTGAAGGCAAAATATTATCTGACTCTCACAAATTAAAGACAAGCCAGTCTTGATCAACACACGAGTGGTGTTTGGCGTAAATTTGACCCACTGAGTCACCTCGCAGCGCCATGATTGGGAAATATGTGAGGATCAGCTGGGCAAGGAACCCACGGGCAGAAGGTACACGCACGCAAGACTCACACCAGCAAGCGCATCTTCGTTCCATCGGCCTCTCTGCTTCGACCACGTCTGCGTCGAATTGTGCTGCGTTCTCGCAGTGCCCCAGTCGAGCCAACCAGCCTCGCTCTCGATGCGAGAGACAAAGTAACCTCGGAAATTCGGAGCTTGATGTGGGCCCAGCTGATCCGTTGTACGTGAAACAAGGCATCAGTCCGCACTCCAACGACAGCGAACGAGGTGCTCCTCCTTCCCTCATAGCATCCCATCTCACCTTGTAGTCCTGGAGCAGACGAGGGGGAGGCGAAGACGAACCGACGCTTTCAGCTCGGACTTTGTAGCTTAGACTGACATTCAAGCTCACCATTCTCTCTGGAGTCCATCCAGATATCTCCTGCCTGTCGGCATCGACGAACACAGCGCCTCTCCAACCTTCTCTGGCCGCGTGTATCGCCACGTAAGGGCCATCGACCAATGTTCCATGCTGGCTCTCGCTCTGCCACAAATCATATTCTATGATGCTAGAGTGTGATCTGCCAGCGCTCTGAACATAGAAACCTGCTCCCCGTTGTTGGCGCGAGGCATCCACTCTGAGCGCGTGCTTGCCCAAAGAGGCAGACTCCTCTTCGTGCGAGAAAGGCAGCGCACGAGATTGCTCGTCAAGCTGTAATTGACCGAATCCAGCGCTTACTTCCAAGGGTGCTAGGTCTCCCATCCAAATGGCAGGTTGACGAGTCATCAAGGTCCCTCGATACGTCTTGTCGTGATAGTAGTAACCCTCTGAGCTAACGTAGTTTGTCCGAGTGGATGGAGTGACGCGAACTGCTGCGAAAGGCGGACTGGGATTGGGTGATAGACCAGCATAGCTATCCGGCTCGTAAGTGCTCGCATCCGGTCCCGCTGTGCCTATCAGCGGATCGACGAAGGTGGAATGTCCTGCCTGCGAACGCCATCGTGAGCTTTGGCAAGATGCGATGTTCACGGCTTTGGCGCAGGTTTGCCTGCTCGGGATTGTGTGCGGGTGCGCAGTCTGCAGCGCTTCCAGCCGGCTCATACCATCCTTGCTTGGCCATGGGGAAGCAGGAAAGAGTAAGTGCTGTTGCGGCATCTGTATGCATGCTGCGCCAGCTAGGAGGGTGAGCCAACATGCCCAGCCCAGCCAAGCAGTCTGACTCGGGGCCAGCGTTAAGACCGCGTTGAACATTGCAGACCTTCGAAGACGCACCCCACAGCGCGTCCAAAGCGACAACCTGCCTTCTTTGCCTCTGCTTTGTGAGCTTTGAGTTGCGAGCGTGATTGATGATGATGATGACGATGCAGAGCTGGCAGCGAAAGCAACATGTTCACTACAGCTGCTGCTCTAATCGCCTCAGTCACAGTCCTAAGTCACAGCCGTGAGTTGGAGTGTGAGTGGAGCCATGAAGTGAATATTCAAAATTGGGCCCCGCATGTGGAGGGATCCCTCGATCACAATTCACGTGATTGAATTCACGCTGTTGCGCGTGCATGCTGCTGATTATATAGCGTATCATAACGCGGCGGGCACGGCGCGGCGCCTCGCGCGCCCGCTCAAGGACATATCGACGCGTGGGGAAGGAGCCTCTCCGAGCTTCATCCCTCCCACCGCAAAGCGCTATCACAGGGTCACGAGACCAACAGTCGTGAGTACTTCTCTAGCTAGCAGCCTGGTCATAAGATCCTCCCAAGGTGCAACAAGCGCATCGCGTTCAATTCTTGATTTCGAGATCTTGGTGGCCTTCAACACGCGCATGGCCCTGGTGACCACAGCATGACATGTGTCAGGGAAGGGTTGCGGTGAAGCTCACAGCGTTCAAGGCCACTCGAGCATAGGACCATCGATCCAGTCTACGTCATCATCGAAGAATGCCTCCTCGGAATGGTACTTGGAGAAGTCGATGGTGTCGGAGCTGTCCAGCTTCTTGTCGACTTTAGCAGCGACATAACCTTGGCCATTCAGCGACTTGGATCCAAATACCCCTCGCTGCTTGTCGACGAAAGAGCCCCTGTAGCCTTGAGCGGACCAGAGAGCTGGGTTGACAATGTCGAACTGCGAAGCAGTGGTCAAACGTACGCTTTGTGACCGCATATATATGCGCAAATGTCGAGCAAGTAGAGCACACTCACCAACTTGGTAGAGATCCAGATGGACGTGGTGTCGGAAATCCATGGGCGAGCAAGGTAGACGCTACCAGCAACCAAGTCCTTGCGCGCAAAAGGCTCGGCGGCAGGTCCAACGGTCGAACTTTTGATGACAACAGCGCCATTCGAAACGCTGCTGTCCCAAGTGACTATGTTGCCTTTTCCTCGAGGTGCGATCTGGGATTCGGAGATGAAGAGACGACCAGTCCCTGTCGTACGATCCAGCGAAAGTCGCGAAGATATCGATGCGATGTTTAAACTTGCAAAGCAGTGAACGGCAGACTCTTTTCGACAGCATGACTCACCCCAAATCCAATCGTACCAGCCTTGCACCTCGGAGCGGAACACGTTGGCCCTGCCATGCACAGCGAGGGTGCTTCTCCAGCTGTATAGCTGCGAATCCATGATGCTGGCACTGCTTCCGGTCGCTACCCAGAGAGCGGGTGAGCTGCCGTATGAGAAATCAGGAGGATTTCTACTACGCTGGTAGTTGTCGTCGCACTCATTTTCTAGCGTGTGACGTGCGAAAGGGAGCGCAAGAGCGAGGTCAGCTCGATGACGAGGAGATAGAGTGGTCTCGCGCATGATACTCACGAATCTGGACGTCCTTGACCAACACGTTGGTGTCTTCGCCTTCAATCACAAGCGTCGACGTACCATCGCTTTCGACGTTGCCGCAAGCGAAGGTTGCGAGGACAGGCACTGCTCCTACCTCCAGCTCTCCGGCGATGACGAGAGAACGTTTCGCACGGAAACGGCCTACCGGGGCAAGTGGGACAAGAAGTACAATGGACTTATCGAGCTGATACAAGCTTGTGCGTCAAGGATGAAGCTCACCTCGATACTTGACGCCGCTCTTGAGGATAATGACGATCGAGTCACCTGCCAATGCGTCGGCGAGCTCGTCCGCACTCTTGACGTAGATCGTGTTCTTTGGGCATCCTTCCAGCCCTTTAGCCGCGGTGCGCTGGCATCTACCAAGCAGGACTGGCCGAGGCGCTGGAGCTAAGGCATCAGCCGGTAAAGCAGTCAGGAAGCAGATGGCGGCAGCGAGAGCTGACAGAGCAGCGAGGGGACTGAAACAGCGGCGCATATTGAGGTGGTGGTGCGAAGTTCGAGGGGAGAGGGGCGGAAAATTGGGGGGGAGGAGGGATGCGATAGTCTCGGAGATGCTTGGGGCCTGCAACATGCCGTCTTATACATGGGCCCCGAGGCGTCCAGATCCGAGCAGAGTGCACCACGCTCGCGCTGAGGTTACCGACACAAGCACCCCGCGGACTTTCACTTTGCTCATCAAAGTGCCATTTGAAAGGTAAATTGTGCCCCGAAAAATGACCAAAAGATTGCTCAAGCTGTACTGTGGCTATATTTAGTGTCAGAAGACGAATATGGGCAGTCTTCAGCACGGCTTAATTCGCGTGACAGAGATGACGGACCTTCGGTTGCCGGAAATGCGTGGGAGCTATTTCCCCATGCTCGCCCATCAACGGACCGCAAAGCCTTGCGACGATCGCCAGATTCTTGGCTCTGTCACGGGCCGCCGAGTAGGGACGAAATGCGAGTCAATCAGGTACCGGCAACCGCCGCCATGACCAAATATGATCCTATCAAACCGATTGGTGAGGATGGAAAGGGACTTCCGTGAGTGATTGGTGCTTTGCAAGATGGCTGGGCGACGTCGCAATGGCATAGTGATCTGGGCAAAGTTGTCCGCGCAAACACGCTTCATCACATCTGGGCAAGCAGAAGCTTCGCAAGGGTCCTTCATTTGCACGCCCTTCGATATGAGTACACGGCCGAGCTATTTCAGATTCTGTCACTGGTATGCATGGGCTATTGCTTGCGCGCCGAGGACGTCCTTGGCACTCATTCTACGCGGGCTCATTGCCTGTCTGTGTTGTCGAGCATAGCCTTTGTGCTCAAGGCCCCTCGCGCCTGGTGAAGATGAAGCTGCCGCAAGTATGCGCCAGCATGTTCTCCGTCCTCAAGCGAAACGCGATGCGTCCAAGCGCCTTCGATGAAGGCTATCCCTCTCGTACCTCCATCGCGAGGCCGGATCGCGCAAGCATTCCGCCCGCCCGCAAGAGATAAACACGCTGGCTCCCACAGTGTCATCCCGCCATCCAAGCCGAGTCACTTCTTTCTTGTGGCGCCTCAGAAGTTCGCGACAGCCACCCGGACAAGCGGGACGGCAAAGTCTCCGCGATCGCAGCGTACACTGGCGATCTTTGCGCCGGCTCGCGAAGAGTCTGTACTCTGCATGGCGCCACTTCCACATCGCTGTGCCCAAGAGTCAGGATACCTTTCCTTGCCGCTCGAATCAGCTAGACAAGGCAAAGCAAGTCACGAGTATGGCGCAAGCAAATGATGTGATCCGAGCCGCGCGCTCTGAACGCCCCCAGATCCGCCCCCAATTCCCTTCTCCCACACGCCGACACTTGCCCAAGTGGCGCTTTGTTGAGCTCGCAAGGCGCCGCGAGATAAGAATCAGCACCAGAAGGCTGCAGCACCGTCATGTTACCACACAATGTGATCACTCTCCGCATTAGGATGGCCCCAAGGCACCTCGCGAGCGCGTTGCTGCTGACATGTAAACGCAGTACCGATCAACAGGCTTATCACGCATCGAGGAGACACTAGGCTTCTGGCTGGTCCTTACGTGACCGTCAGTCGTCATCACTCTTGCCGTCCACCCTCGACACTCGTATTTGCTACTCGCCACCGGTCAAGCAGCAGCAACGTCCGCGACTTGACGCTGTTGAATTAGCCAGAAGCACAGCCCGCCATAAATCGACCACAAAAAAGGCGCTGGGCGGGCAGGAGAGTGACGTCTAGCTCGCTCTTGGGTGACAAGACGGATGTACGGGAGGAAGAGGCACTCTCGCAGGTACAAAAAGGTGCGCTACGTCAGGCGTCTATCTCCGTGCTTCCTCATCGAACTCGCAGCGGGGCTCTACTGTCCAGGTCTTCCATCATCAAGTACTTTTGCCCAGCCACCGCAAGACTTGTTTCTGACACCGTCACAACTCGAGTCAAGTACAACCTCTGACCACGATGGTGGACCCTCTGGTCATCGTGGTTGCTGCCGCTCTCGTCATCACGGATGCACAAGCCCTTCCCAGCTACATCGAGGACAGATTCCCTCAGTCAACAATGCTGGCGATGAGGTCGCCCAGTGGGGTAGGTGCGAGCAGAGAGATTGAAGCAGGACTTCATTCGGTAAGTCAAATTCTGTTGTCCTCTTCCCCCTGGGAAACCCCCTTGATAGGCTGACGACACTCCATTTGTCCACGCTAAGATCAGTCCCGTAGAGGGTCACATAGCTGCTAGCAAAGGCTTACGGCGCACCGACAAGTTCAAAGATCTGCACTATCTCAAGCAAGAGAGCAAACAGGGACGCACCGTCGCAAGTCTGAGAGAAGGAGCAAGAGGCGCAGAGGTGTCTGGCGAAGAGCAGTCGCGCGACCCATTGGGCATCGCTCGACCTCTTCGCCAAGAGAGTGATGAGTACGATTGGGAAGGAGTCGAACCACAGCTCAAATCGCTGGTAGGTTTGCGTGAAACGTTGCTGAGAGCTCGATCAGCACAACGCTGATAGGATGACATGGGCTTCTCGTCGCAGGCAGTCGCTAGCCCGCGGCTGAAGGTTGGCTCAAGGAAGAGCTCCGTAGCCGTACCAACTTCGTGAGTACAGCTATGGCGTTTGATCCATCTTTCGGATGCTGAAAGCCGTCACGCTCTACTTCGCACGACCTCAGCTTCAACGAGAGTGAGAATGAGAATAGCAAGTCGCTCGTACGCGGGCTCAGCGACTTGTCGCGAAAGGCCCCAAAACGCGCCTCAAGCGGGCAAGGGCCTTCGGCACACTCGTCTTCGTGAAGTCTGTATCTCGGGTAGTCCCTTGCATTGCAGTGCGAGCCTTTCGCTTGCGGTAGACGAATTACAAAAGCGATGTTTATGAAGTGACCTCAACCTGTGGATGATGAGGCTCTCGCTTGGATCAAGTCAAGAGAGTGAGACAGTCGCGCTGATCATGTTACATGCATCTCATTGAGCTTTACACTGCAGCATGGCACCGATAGAGCGTGATTAGAAGCGAGCGCATCGACCTGTCCGGGCCGGGCCCGTTTGGAGACCTGGTCTGCATTTACGGCTGCCTTTGAGCGTCTTTTAGTGGTTGTTCTGACTTCGAGGACTCTTCGCGTTGCCGAAGGAGGGGACCCTGATACGAACCGCTATCAGAGAGCCCAAGTGAAGACACGAGCTGTGGTTCACCTAGCGGTTGCGAACCACCACTGCTTTCGCCGACCAGCCAGGGACGCCTAGGAATGGGGGGTCTCTTGTACGGCAGCCGCTTACCTCGAGCAGGTCTCCTCGGTTGTCTGAGTTCATGGCTGTACTTGAAAGGTCTGCCGCGAGGACGATCGAGCTCAGCGTGCCCAAGGTGCCCCTCGACTCCATCGTCTTTGCCATCTAAGCGCATTTGTTTGATTTTCGCTTTAGCTCTGAAACGAGCCTGAGCTCGGGATGTCGCGACTTGTTTATCCACTTCCATAGGCAGGCCCACACTGGTGTTGGGGTGTCAAGACTATTCAGGTTGGAAGCTCAGCTGCCCCGATCATTCGCCAGACCACTTACGACCGCTGGACGTCCTCCACGCCTCTATCCCATTCGTGATCCACCAGCGCTTTGCGACCGTTTTTTCTCATCCCAACATTGAATGTCCATCCAGGGGCCAGGAATACTTGGTGCGTGTCCTTGCCCGTCTGCGAATTGAGGACAGGCTCTCTGCGAGCGTCTCCCACTTTTCCATAGAAGTGCCACTTTGGCTCATGGACGGTGCGCATGACATGTGAAATCATCTACATCGAACAGAGGGAGCGCATTAATATCTTCACTCGATCGCACCGAGCACGCAGCCGTAGCGCACCTCAAAGTGATGCATTTCCGGTAATTTGGTGCGGTGGTGTTGAATTGCATGGTACACCACCGCTTTCTCCGTGCTTCCAAGGCCCGATCTGAATCTGTCAGTATTCAGCTGGACTGGTGTGGGTGGGGCCCTCTTCACCAGATTAGCACCTTTACGCGGATTCGCCGAGTCAAAGCGCGAATTTCGTCTTTCACGAAGAATGTTTCTTGGGCTTTTCGAGCTAGACTGGAACGAGCGCCGAACGTGAGGGAGCCGCAGCAAGTGGGAGATGTGCGACATCGTCCTGAGATTTGGAAGCTTGTGGACCGCCCCGTCGCGCATAGAAGAAGGGCGAGAGACATCGAGCTCTGGATCAGGCGGCAGGTTGAGGTCTTGCTGAACTACGATGCGCCGCTTCTTGGCAGGACTGCTAGAAATGTCGGGCTCTCTGAGCTCTGACCGATCTTTGACGCGCTGTTTGTATTGTCCAGCCCCAGTTCCACCGGTAGTAGTGTCGACTCGAATTGCGTGAGCAACTCTCCGGAGGGCGGCGTTGTTGCTCGGCAAGGATCCGAACGCTCTTTTGTATCTTTGAACCAGGCGTTGCTGCTGCATGGTGGAATAGGAGGGTGCTGAAGGGACGAATCGAAGCGATTCCGGAACGGGGACGTTGTTGTCCACGTACCACTTGTGCCACTTCTTTGCCGTTACAATCGTGACGGGCCGGTCTTGTGGTCCCTCTTTGTAATGTCTCAGGGCACCTGGTTTGTCTTTCATCGTCACGAGCGGCATTTTGTAGGTGCCGTACTTGGACCACTGTGGGTACAGTGGTTGGCCGTCCGACATTGCATCCTCAGCGGCCCTGTGCACCGTGTCTGAGCTGGCTTCGAGGCGCGGGTGGTGAACATCCTCGCCGCTCGCCCGCTTGGTGAAAGTAGTGGAGCTGGACCATGTTGGAGCAGAGGTTGCACCCATCAATCCCGAGGGAATCCTCAATCTCTCAGTACTTGTTGCATCAAGAGTATGATCAATCTGCTCTCCTCTCGAGACCAGGGTGCCCGTTTTCCCAGCGGCGACAAAGAGCGGAGAGCCTAGGGCTCTGCGCTCTGGAGGCGGTGAGGGAGGACTAGGCTCCATCCATTCTGGCCGGTCGAGCTGGTGCTTCAGAGGCACGTATGGTGGAGCATGTGCGTTCAAAGTCGGTCTCGAACTTGAGCTCGAAGAGCCAGGCGTCCCGTGACGCGCTGCGTCTGGAGGAGTGGAGCTGAGAGCATCGCGTTGCCTTTGCAACCACCTGTTGGATCCTTCCACCAGCGGAAGCGGGTACGGCCCGCGTGGCCTAATGTTTCCCTTGTAATACGTCATGTCACCCTCGCGCATTTTCACCGAGTACGCCAAAGGGACTGTATGGACCTGCGAGCGTGTCTCCGGATGCAGAAAGGGCTCGCCGTCGTGGCTGAACCGGACTTCCGTCCTGGGTACAGGCTCGCCCTCATGCTTAGTCATTGGCTGTAGAAACTGTAACGAGAAAGATAAAGTACAATGGTTGTGTCAATGCCGGCCGCGTCTCGCGCAGATACACCTCGAGCCTCGATGTCACACCTACCTCGGCGTCGAGTGGCTTTTCAGGATGCGCATAGGCTTTGTGGAAGTAGTCGGGATTCTGCGCTACGTAGTGAAGGATTGAATCCTTGACGGTCCAGTACTGACGTGTCGGGAGATGACCGACCTCGTCTGCGGGCTTGACTGTCACAAATGGCAGATCCTTTGGCCATTTGTGGCTCGAGGGCTTGGCGGCGACTTGTGCAGCATCCCTGACGCCGGTCGGCGTATTGAGGCCAGAAACGTAGAAGAGAAGGCTCCATAGGACTACCAGTACCGCCGCACCTTTGACACTACCTTGGTGGCTCATTCTGGTTGTAGAACGAAGCACGTTGTGACTGCGAGTGAGAAAATGAAGGCTAGAATGAAGTTTGGGTTTACAAGATGGTCGAATCGCTCGATGGCGTCCGCCGACAAGTCACCTCAGGCTTTGTCGAGCGTACAGCGCGCTTCGCGTCGGAGGGCCAAGGAGGCCAAAGTCTCCGGTCGTGGGTGCAGAGGTCTTACATCCGCATTTGACGCTGTCAAGTGTATGGTGGGTATAAAGAGTTCGAAAGCTATGCGGCGCTGACTCTTAAATGTCTTGCGTCCAACGATTTGCCACTGTGCAAGGCTGGCGCAGCGTCCCTCTGGCCAAGCGGGCGCGTTTGTGTACATCGCTGAGCTGCCGACCAAAGTGATCAGAAACGTGCGTGTAGCTCCTGTCCCCCGCGAAGGTAGCTCGTGCACCGGATGGCGTGTGGCAACAGATCTGAGTCGAGAAGGCCCTGACGAAGTGTGGCAAGAAGAACGATGGGGAGGATTTTGCACACGTAATGAGATTTGCAGCTCCGCCAGCTCGTGCGCCTTTGGGTGGGCAACGACTGCCGTCACAATGGAGAACAGTGGAGTGACGCAACGCCTCTTGCGCTGTCCGCCCCTCAACGACCTCCTGCGCGCCCAATTCAATGGCAACACCGTCTTGTTGAGCTCATGCGAGATTGCTACCGCTTGCCAAGTGAGGGAAACTTGACGTAACGCCACTTGCGTAGAGTAGCGCAAGCAATCAATCTTTGCCACCAGAGCGTGCTTTGAGGAAGTGCGGGTGTGAATCGGCTCACGTGTGTCCCCAAATTTTGAATCAGAGGAAAGCGTGGCGAGCGATTGGGACAGAGGCAAGCCTGGGCTGCTCGCCAAATTTCCGCCCCATGCTTCAGCTCAGAGACACGCATGTCTCACACACACTTTCTCGAAAAGGTTCGAGCATCCTTGAAGTCTGCACGTCGCTTTGTGTATTTTGGATGTAGAAAGGTGATTTGCAGGTCGCATCAGTGCTCCGAGTCGTGCGAGAGTTCCACTAGTGATTACTGCGATGCGCGGCCTCATCTGGCCAATCGTCTAAGTCGAGCCAATTTGACGGAGAATCGGGATGGCGAATGCGTTGTGTCACAGAAGAGCTAGCTTTGGGGGACACGTGGTTGGTGTCTGGAGTACCAGTCCGCGAGGGGTGCGGAGATGAATGGTTCAGGTTCAACCCGTCCGATGGAGAATCGGGCTGAGCGGTTTCGCGCGTGGCAGAAGAAGCGGCACCGCGCGGTCTGCCATCATGGACAGAAGCGAAACTCTGCGGTCCACTATCATTGTGAATTGCTTCAGCTTCCGATGCACGCCGGTCTTTGTTCGTGCCTTGAGATTCAGGTGCCGTCCCTTTTGAGGGTAGAGCCGGACGGGGAGTCGCGATTGCAAGTGGGCGCTGACGCTTGAGGTTAGGCCTACCGGGTTTGCGATGCTTGAATGCTGTTGCGTTGTCCAATTTTGGCTTCGGCCGAAACCGTCCGTCGGGTCCTCGCGGTGGACACCGGCCAGGCGGGGTGAAGAAATTGTCGATATGCTTGACTGCCTCCTGACCAAAGTCTATCCTTGGTCTGCACCCTCGCTGAGACTCTCTCACCAACGGATTGTCGTTGATGGATGTTCTCGTTCGCGCTCTCGCCTCTGGCAATTGCGAGTGGACCTTCCATCCATTATCACGAACGTAAGAGGAGCCTGGAGCCATGAAGACGTGATGATGCTCGAAATTATCTCCTCTTGAAGTTGTGCCGCCTCCTTCGATGATGCTATGATATTGATCGTACGCTCGGCCAATGGCGTGAAGAGCCGGCTCTGAAACAGCAGGCCCGAAAGGCTTGTCGACCTGCGCAAGTGGTGGACGAGCACATCAGCAACATGCTGCCTGTCCGTAGCTTTGGCAAGCAAGACTCACGATGAAGCCTTTCATGTCGGGGACGAAGAGTTTCTTGTGAAGATGGATTGCCTCTATCAAGGCGGCGCGCTCCGACTCGTTACCGTGGCGCCCAAAACTGATGGCGACCGGCGCAACAGGGCTAGGGGGATTGTCATAGACATTGTTGAGCTCCTTCAAGGGTGCTTTGAGCTCAGTGTCCATGAATACTTTGTCCGTCTTGGTTATCTTGTGGATGTGGGCCCTGTGTCCAATTGGCTTCTTCAGCTGCTTGTCTACGTTCCCACCACTTGAGGTCGACGCGCTTGTCGCGTGTTCTGCTGCTTCTTCCAACCAGGAGCTCTCTCCAGAAAGAGCCCGACGGAGGTTTGGACTTGCGCGATCAGTGGCTGCAAAATTAGGACGTGTGCTCGTTCGCCAACGCAGACTTGGCATATTTTGGCTCTGGTGACCATAGTTGGGCAATCGAAGTGCCAAGCTCTGTCCGACAAGGGCGGCGAGGAGAACTGTTTGCGCATTTGTGTAGAGCATTGTGCTTGAAAGTGCGGTGGAGCGGGGAAAGGATGGGATGCTAATGTTACAGCGATCAGATGAGGTGCTGGAGAAAAGAGTCTGACATCAACGTTCTGCGGTAGATTGAGCTTTTGAGAGTGAGTAGTGAGTCGCCTCGGTTGAAGTAGACGAGTGCGCCTCAGAGCTCGACGCGGAGGGCGGCGGCACGAGCTTTCATTGCCACTGGTAAGAGTGGCGGGAACGCATGAGATGGCGGATGCGCAAGGGGCAAATTGAGAGCGAGCGCTCCAATTTCAGTTTCGTCGATTTGCCACCTGAGCATCACCTCAGTCCGAGCCAATAGAGACACGAGATCGCGAAATCGGATGCAAGAGCTGCGTGACTATTATTGTAGCCGGGCTATGGACACACTCAAAAGCGGATTGTGCACTGTGCGAAGGACAGCGTGAGAGTTGCGTAGGTATGTGACGCAGTCATCTGAGCGGCCTAGTCGCGCGACAAGAGACCCAGCGCCGAGGCTTTTTGGAGAACAGCAGCCAACGTTCGTGTGCTTCCAGTGAGACCCACAAATGTGCGGTAGATGCGTCCCTGTCTCAGAAACCTGTTTTCAGAGTAGTGTCTCCTGCACGCATTTTCCAACGCTCTGGTCTGCACCGCGGGGGATTTTGCGAAAATCATCCTGTCGATTAGCTTCGACGAGTCCACACAAATAAAGACGTATAGCATACTGCTCACCTCGTGCTCGCTCCAGAAAGACCCAGCCGTTGGGCCCGAAGGTGCACGCGCGACGTGATAAACAGGCGGTTGGCGGAAAGAAGCTGACGATGTTGAAGCTTGGGCGGCAGTGGACGCAAAAGGGGGGGCAGAGGTCTGACTTGTCGCGCTATGACCTGCTCTGTGCGCAGCAGGATTTCTGCCGAGCTGAGGAGCTCTTCGCAAGCTTTCAGAACGCTCCGCAGCTCTATTGCTCCCCCCATCTGTTATATCGTTCGCGCTCTCTTTCTCACTTTCGGCTTCTCGAGCTCGCTTTCGCTTCTTCTCTCTTTTGCTCAATCGTTCCTCCGTCTCACTGGCCGCCGATCTTTTCTTCTTTGCTTTCCCCTTCCTTTTGCTGCCATCCTTCCGCATGTAGAACGTAACAAATTCCTCGAACATCTTCCTCAAGTCCCGTCGACCGCTCTGATCTTCATCAGAGCCCTCGTCCGAACCGGAAGAGAGGTCGCGTTCCCATTCGGAGAAGCGAGGTTCTGAATCGTCTTCGCTCCTCCCACTCTGGCTTCCCCTGCCAGCCGATTCTTTGCCTTTGACGCTCGACGATGTCTTGGGGTGCGGAGTAGCCCATTTTGAAGCCTTCTTCTTGTTCTTGGACGACGAAGCAGAGCTGCTTGAGCCCGGCGCTTGTGATGGAAGAGCACCAGCGGCCGCTTCTGCTCGGTGCTGCTCCCTCTCCGTAGCTCGCCTGGCTCTGTGCCGTGCGACCTGCCTCTCAAGCCTGTCCGCTTGCCTGAGCTCCGTTCGAGTCAGCGTCGCAGCCTTCTGCTTGGCTGCGAGTCTGTTGCGCTCTCGCAGCTCTAGCCTTTCTTGCGTGTCCGTCGACGAAGTTCCCACTGATGATCTCGACGAGCTCGTGCCTGATCTTGCAAGATTCGAATCTCGCTGCAAAGAGGCGATCGCAGGATTGACCGGTCCGGCCGATATTTCCGACTCGGATGAGGTGGTGCTCTCTGAGAAAGACGAAGTGGTGACCGATGAGTCTGACGAGATGCTCACCGCCCGGTCCCGACCGTTTGTGCCTGGAAGTTGAGAAGGAGCTGATGCATGCGTCGAAGAATCAAGAGCGCTAGGCTTGGTGTCTCTAGGCGAAAGCGAGGTCCTAAAGACTGGCTCTACGCCTTCGGTCTGAGTTGGTGTTGGTGCTGTGCTACGGGAGGGGCCTACTTCGTTGCCCAGCGATTGTGGGCGATTTGGCAAGGAGATTGACGCGTTTGTTGGTGATTGAGAAGCTTGGAGCATGGATCTTGGCGCGGTCGGAGGATTGGCAGCTGTGCTGGGCGGGCCGACTCTCAGGGCTACTGCAGGTCTGCCTTGGTCCACCGACTTTGCCTTCATCTGCAGCACAGACTCCGATACCACGAGTACGCCTTCTCGACGCTTAATGTCCGCTTCCCGTTCAGCGAGCGCAGCTTCCCTCTCTTCTAAATGCTTCTCTTTGCCTTCGAGTGCACCTTCTTTCAACCTCACCATCTCTTCCCTTTTGCCTGCCTTCCACTCTCTTTCGCATACACTTGCTTCTCGATCCTCGGGAGCCATTTCACAGAGCTCCAACGTGGAGCGCAACAGGTCTGGTGGAGCATCTTCGCGCAAGTGATAAGCGTTCGTAGTGTGCCAAGCAGCGCATTGCACTTGCCTCATCCAGTGGTACTGGCGCGCACTCTCCTTCTGATCTTCCGCATTTCCATCGACCTGCTCTCGTCTGAGCTCCCTACGCAGGGCAGGGTCCAGCACGAAAATCCGAGCAAGACCATCCACTTTGTTGCCTCTGGTTCGCAGGGCGCCTTTTAGCGAACCGCTTAGCTCCCGCCAGAGCCTTTGCGGTACGGTACCAGTAATGGCGATCATGCAGTGCTCTTTCTCGCTCTTCGACGCATTTGGCTTCTTTGCCTTGCCCTCTCCGGGGTCTGGTGCATTCTTGCTGCTTTGCTTGCTGGTTTGACCACGCGGCTCTTTCAAGGCTAGGAGAGGAGTAGCAGGCTCCTGTCCTCTCAAGGTGTAGCGATGACCACCCGCAGGACGCTCTCTTTCGGGGCTCCTGCTGTGCTGGCTCTGTCTACCATTGCCATTGCCATTGCCATTGCCGTTGCCGTAGCCATAGCTATAGCCATAGCTACCACTTGACCCTTCACCTCTCGGGGGCTCATTTGCCTGATGAGTCGCACGCCGTGATGAGTTGTGCGAGTCAACGGGTTGCCAGCTTGGACCAGCGTGACTTGCGGGGTCCGCACGAGCGTATGGCGCCTCATGAGCAGCCGCGCCGTGTTCCCTCCCATTCACCTGAAACGACATTTTCTCGTATCGCCTATCATGGACTTTCGCGACGAAGCGTGCAGGCTGGCAGGCTGTCGATCGAGTAGAGGAGATGCTGAGCTGTGCACAGGGTGTAGCTTCAGCTGTCAGACGCGAGAAAGGACAGGTGTAGAAACGGTATGATAGATGGCGCCATGCACAGCCGGTATGTCAGCTGCTAGTCGACCACCCAGCACCGACTCTTCTCATGTCTGCATTCACGATTATCAAAAGTTCTTGGGGGCACGCCTGCTAGCCCGCGCTTCTTGTTTATGTTCGAGTTGAGGTGGAGAAGAAGAAGCACGTGACCACCAAATTTATGGCAATCAAGATGGATTCGAATTCAAGATTCCAAAGCCAAGGAAGTCTGCTCAATGCATGCATGCGCGCATTTTGCGCTGAGCTTGCTGATGAAGCGTCATCCTTGCACACCATCAAACATTCAGATTCAGCATTCAAGATTCTTCATTCACATTCACTCACCATCCTTGATCCCTTATTGATCCATACTCACGCGTTCCTCTGGGAGAGCGCTCGAGCTCGACCTTGCACCTGAAACTCACCGCGCACCAGTAGTAGTATTGCTGTTGACTGCCCCACTCACGACTGACCATCAGCATCAGCATCAGCATCAGCATCAGTATCTTCCAAACACGTCAGCCCCAAAAGACCGCGCGGACCTCCATCTCTTCTCAGAGTCGCGCGGGTGGGGAGCTGCCAATTCGAGTGCGCTACTCTCTTCGGTAGTCCGCCTCGAGACACACTTCTCCGCTCCTCTTTGCATGGCTCTCGCTTATGAAGCAGACTCGACTTTGTGCAGCCAACTTAGTCCAACGCACGCTCCAACGCCTGCTCGGAAACGCGATCGACCCCAGCAGCCTTTCCCCATCCATTCCACCAAAATTTCCCACCGAAGCAAGAAGCACACTTCCCGTTCCTGCCGATACAACTTCTCTTCCTACGTCACTTCATTCGCAATCAACAGAGGATATGCCCGCCGTCAGAACTCCTGCCAGTGCGAGCAGCGCAGCTTCGACGATCGGCGCTGATAAATCAAGAAGCAAAACGGGCGGTCAAGCTTTCGTGCAGGAGCCTCCACGTCTCTTTCCAAAGGCAAAGCCAGTCAAGCCAGGAAGCAATTGGTCCAAGCTAAGAAAGGTGAGCTGAGCTTACCTGAGAACCTTGCCTCATCAGTTCAAGGGTGAGCTGACCTTTTTCTCTCCGGCTTTCATGCTTCTTGACCCACCCATCACAAAGTCATTACCAACCAACGCGTTTGCTCAAGCCGAAGCTTTGCGCAAGAAGCGGCGATTATCTTCGGCGCAAATGTCGGAGCTTTCAAAAATTTCTTCATCGGAAGCTTCTTCTTCTAGAAGTGCTTATGGTTCTCCAGTGCCAACCACATTACCCTGGTTCGCCGAGGACTTGGACCCGGAGGACCTGGAGATGGTCAGGCGGAGCCATGCGAATCCTTCTGCTCTCCTTGATAAGGGCAAGACCCCTGTGAAGGGAAGCGGAGTGATGAGCGATGAGGCACTCAAGATGCAAGTGATTCTCGGAGGTAATTCACAAGATTCAGAGGGCAAGAGAGAGTGAGTGGACACACACGTACACAGCAGCACGAGGCGCACGCATACTCATTACTCGCCCCCCTTTCCCTCGTGTGTCGTGCGCCAGAGTGGGGCAATACCTGGCGCTGGACTGCGAAATGGTGGGAGTGGGAGCTCAAGGCTCCGAGTCGGTCTTGGCAAGAGTGTCGGTGGTCAATTGGCACGGGCACTGCGTGCTCGACACCTTCGTCAAGCCCAAAGAAGCAGTGACAGACTATCGGACATGGGTGTCCGGTGTGCGAGCAGCGAATTTAAAGAACGCGCCTTCGTTCGAAGAGGTTCAAGAACGGGTCAGCAAGCTGATCCACGGCAGAGTGCTCATCGGGCACGCGGTGCACAACGATCTGTCCGCTCTGCTCTTGGATCACCCTCGTAGAGATATACGCGACACGGCGAAATTTCAACCTTTGCGAGATCTGGCCAAATCAAAGTATCCAGGTTTGAGGAAATTAGCGAGTCTGGTGTTGGGCATCGACATTCAAAAGTCTGGCAGGTCTCATTCTTCGATTGAGGATGCTCAAGCTACCATGGCCATCTATCGTACTCAACATTCCGCCTGGCAAAAATCTTTGGGCCGCAATGTACCCACGAGCTGGGAGGTGGAGGAAGAGGCGGACGAAGAGCTGGCCGATACGACCGCTGATGGTGCTGAGCCTCTTCGCGTGGCGTCGGCGCAGCACAGTAGCAAGCCGCTCAAGAAGCCAGCAAACATAATCCAACCTAGACCTAGAAAGCCTTCTGCGACAAGCAATAGACCCGCACAAGCTCGAGCGAAGCACACTGCTGCTCCTGGCTGGTGGAACGAATGAGCAACCACGCACGCTTTTTGGACGCACTTAGCAAGACAAGCACCGGCAACTCAATTCGTGATCATCATCACGACACATTTTGGGCATCTCAGAGAGGCGCGATGTTCGAATTGAGCGTATACATCTGCAACAACAAGCGCTGTAACATTAAAGGCATGACAGAGATTCGCTTTCTGTTTGGTCTGGGTCTAGTCCGCGAACAATAGCTCGAGGTTCTGTAGTGATTAAAGGGGATGCGGGTCGAGGTTGAGCACAAGAGCCGGTTGAACGTGCCCAGCACGACTCACCTGCAGCGCCTCAGATTTATCGCTATCACCCGAGCCTGCAAGAGCCGCGCCAGCCAAGGCGTGTTTGCGGTTCTGCAAAGCGATGATGCGCTCATCGATCGTGTTTTCCACAATGACGCGGTGCACAGTCACGTCTCTCATTTGACCGATGCGGTGTATGCGATCGATCGCTTGCTCTTCTGCTGCTTTGTTCCACCAATGGTCCATCATCCTGTCGTACACAGACACGCTATGGTGTCAGTAAGGGCACAAGGGTCGGAACATGCGACTTCTTGTACTCCAGCATCGTCACTCACCAAACTCTGGTGGCAGAAGTCATGTTGATGCCCACACCAGCAGCTTTCAAACTGCACAGCATCAGCAGACTCCCATCCGCAGCCGCAAAAGCCTTGAGCACCGCTTCTCGCTCCTTTTGACTTGTGGAGCCGTCGAGCCTCACGAATCCATGCTTGTGCCGCTTCAAAATCTGCTCGATCAGGTCTAGAAACGATGTGAAGGAGCTGAACACAACACCTTTGAAGCCCGGCTCTGAAAGGCGCAACTCGTTGAGATCTTGGACGAGCTAGCCGAGCAAACCCAAAAGCGCTCATGTAAGGATTGGGTGGTGTAGGACTCGATGTGAAGGCATCTATCTACTCACTGCTTCCAGCTTCGTGCTGCTGCGAAAGTTGTTGCGCTGAAAATAGACCGAGGCCTGCGAAGAGGGTGCTTCATCGTCCTCTTCTTGCTGTGCATCAGGGTCGTGTCCTGCCGACTGCGCTTGCTTCTTGCGCAACCGCACGGCAGTGATGAGATCCGAAGCACTGAAGGGACCCTGGTCACACGTGGGACACCTAGGCTTTTCGTCTCGCGCCTCGCACCTCTCTATGTGCTGCATGAGGCAATTGCGACAGCCACGGTGCTTGCAAGGCATGAAGCACGTTTCCGCAAGTTCTTCGAAACAGAACGGGCACTCGGCTTCGGTGTCGTCATTCTCAGCCTGCGCAGTCATAATTCACAGCGTCAAACACGGCGATGGCAGGTGAGATGACTGCCAGGCCGACTCACCATCATCTTTGATATCGCTTGCATGTCGAGCCCATCGGTACTCCCATTGTCATCGCGGGTGCCATCTTCCTCGCCTATGCCTTTCTGGTACTCCAGAATCAATCGCTGCAATTCACGCTCCTCCGCTACCTCTTCTTCCATGTCCGCCTGCGAATCAGCAATTTCCTCAGGGACATCAGGATTCGGACCAGCTCTTGATTTGGCCGTCGCTTTCAGTACCAGTAGCGGATGGCAGACAGCTTGGCGGAGCCGAAGCAAAACCGTGAAAATACGAGCATAGTTCCGTCCGACTGCTCCAATGGCGTTCAGTCTCTTATATTGCAGTGCTGCACGGCTATAGACAGACTCATAGATCTCCCGCTCCAGTGCGCTGAATTTGAGGCGCTTAGTGACGATCTGTCATGACGAGTATCATCACCGGGCGGGGCATGTTAGCATCGCGCGTCGTCGCGTGATTGGGCGGTGACTGCAAGAGCTTACCTTCTTCTCAGGCAGCACTACCAACGCGTTGCCATCCTTGTCTCTGCTTGACTTTTCACGCCGCAGAAGAACAGACTCCAAAACAACCTGAACAACTTGAAGCGCCTTGGGGTTCTTGTTTGCAAATGGCTTCGCGATGAATGTGTTGAAGAAAGAAAAGTCACCCCAGGGCTCGACACGAAGGAAGCGAAGGAGTGAGAAAAGATCGCTGACTCGATTGACGATCCTGGAAAGCAGCACATCAAGGTCAGTGCAGAACGCAAAGCGATGACTCAGAAATACTTCGAACTCACGGAGTGCCTGAGCGATCAAGAACAAGGGATCTAGCGGAATCTCAGCAAGCCATATCAAGTCGCGAACGTCGCCAAGCGGACACGCACCTGTCAAACACCATCTTCTCCGAGCCTTGAGTGCATCACACGCCTTGGCAGCGCGAGTGGATCTCATGCGAATCTGATGTGCTTCATCGAGAATCACTCTACCCCATTCTACGGCGAAAAGCGGAGCGGAGGACGCAGCATACCTGGACGATGCTGCTGAATCAATGAATCGCTTATGTTCGGAGCTCAGTGTTCCAAGACTGGTTATCACGACGTCGACAGTCGACGTTTCAAGCCGCGTTACCAGATCTCCTTTTTGGTCGCCATAATCTGCGGAGAAGCGCGATTCAGCTTCGTTGAGAATGTGCCCCTCCGATTAGACACTTACACATAGTCGTCTCGAGAGTGGGGCAGGCTCTGCCTAGCTCATCTCGCCACTGGCCTACCAAGCTCATCGGCCCGATTACCAGAGTTGGCTTAGCATTTGTGTTGAGCATTTTGCGTCGATCGGCTCCGTCGTATCCACCAGCAGCAGCAAAAGAGGATGCCAAAGAGACTTGCTTGAAGCCAGACCTTCTGGACCCACTGCTTCCATCTGCCACAGGAGTGGCCAAGGGACTTTCTTCTTCCCCGTCTCGATCTTCGGATTCCAACGGATTCGACAGTATCAAAGCAGCGAGCTGAATTGTTTTGCCTAGCCCCATCTCATCTGCCAAAATTCCGCCGCGTGCACCACGACTAGCCCGCTGAAATTCAAGGCTGAGGTCTCCCGTGTAGGGATTGAAATAGAAGTAGGCATAAGGGTCGTCAAGAAGCGCAATGGCGCTCTGGGGGTCTGACTCGTCGGGCGGGAATCTGTATTGCTCCCACAAAGGATGCAGGCTCAAGTGTCTAGCATCGCCCTGACGTTCCGACAAACTCTTCTCCATGTTGATCATCCACCCCAGAGCTTGCTTTTGGTAGGGTCTCAAAGACAAAGCAAAGTCTGCAGAAGGTTCCACCTCAGGCAAGGCCTGATCCCCCCTCTGAGCTTGAGCGTAGACTGCCTTTAGCTGGTCCTCGGCTAGTTCAGTGCCATCGTTCACCTCGTGCTCCTCTTTGGAAGGATCCTCGACGTCGATCGCGCTCGAAGCGTTGACTGAGTCTTTCTTGATGTCATCGGAGAGCACGATTGGATGCTCTTGAGACCCGCTCTTCTCTTGATGCTTCTTTGGCCTCTGTGCGCCATTGGTATCCCTCAGTGTAGAACAACTAGAAATACTGGCAGCACCGCCGTACTGTTCAATGGCGTCGGTAGCGTCCAGCTCCTCGGATGTTGCCTGATGCGTTTTCAGAAGTTCGTTCGTCATGCTGGGCTTCAGTGTGCATGCTCGAAAAAGCCGCAGGAGAGCTCCTTTACGCTCTCTGAGTGATTTCTCATTGGCCGTTTCTGCAGTCTCGGCGCCCCAGGGGTTGAACGTCTGATCGTCCGCGTCTCGCCCAAAGTTGGATGAGCGGGCTCCTTTGGCAAAAGGGAAAGCTTCTTTGCACAAGTAGGCCTGGCAAAGTGAGAAGGAAGGCAGAGCGGAAGCAGCACATGTGAGCTCTGGCACTCGGTCTACATCGGCAAGGGGCTCACGTTGATTTCTAGCAGAATGTCACATCCCACAGTCAAAGATGAAGGACAGTCCACAACACTTCCGTCAAAGTATACGATGTCCCTGTCGAGCAGCTTCGACATCCAAGCGCTGACATCCGTATGTATGCGTCCGACCTCAAAGCCTACATCCGGAAGAGTGACATTCTTGTGTCAGACGGGCCAACCGAATCTTCGAGCCTGCGAGCCGCAAAGCACAAGCTCACCTCTTAGGTTTGTGAACCGAACAATGACATCCTCTTTTTCTTTGGGCTTTTTGGCAATCGGCGATTGGGTCTTGCTGCTACCGAACATGAGCTTTGCCTGTTTTGGCTGGGCTTTCCCCGATGTTTTCTTGCCATTGGACGTCGCCGCGTCCGCAAACGACTTTGGCTTCTGCCTCGTCACCAGGATTCGGTCTCCCTGCTGAATGTAACTGGCGCCTTTGGAGAGCGACCAAGCAGGCACGATGAAAGTGCCAATGAAGCGACGCTTGAACACCGGTGATCTAGTGGGTGTGATAACCGGTACCGGCGACGCCGAGCCTCGGGGCGTACTTCCCTTTGTGTCAGAGCTGCTATCCAGCTTCCTCCTCTTCGATGCGGATCCATTCGATGGAGGACTCCAGCGCTCGTTCGAAGCCGGCGCCCCTCGCAGAGAGACGTCAGCGCTCTCTATCACCTTGAACTCATCATCGCTGCTGTCCTCGAAGAACAGCCCTTCCACTTTGGCCATTGTAAGAGGCTTCTACTCTGGCCTGTTGCGCACGGATGCTAGGGTCTCAGCCTAGGCAGGACACCTTTGATGCTACTCAACACTGCGGCCCACGGCGCTGGGTCAGTAGCGTGCCGCGATGCCTGCTGCTGGTCGAGCTGGCAATCGTATCGCGAAGTGCTGGGTGTGTCAATCAGGCATGAAGATGTCGGGATGATGGCTGTCGTTGCCGCAACTCGGTGTTGTTAGCTAAGCGCCACTCCGAATGTTCGCACAGCGAGAAATCGTCCCTGTGGAAAGCGCGTCACTCGGTCAATTTACGCGTCAAACACGCGCGCCGCGTGTTGGAATCCGCATGTACCTTAGATGAGCGTTAGCTCTCTCTCTCTCTCTCTCAATCCACCGCAGCTCGGCGTGCGTGCAAGGTCGCCGGCTTTCCCATCCAGCTAGCTAGACAAATGTCGCTCATCAGGCTCGTCGCGGAGCTGCTGCAAGACCATCCGCAGCTTCGACATGCAGCTTTGCTTGAGTCTGGATAAGGCAAAGCGAAGCGCAACTGCAGAGATGAAGTTTCTCCTGTAGAGACCAAGTCTCAGGGCTCTCACTCTTCGCAACTAGCCTCTCATTCTCGATTCTATTCGGTGGGGTTGCTGCCACCTCCGGACAGTGGCGGCTGTCTCGTCATCTGCTTCGTCACTTCGAGTTCGGCTCGCACAGTGGGCTTGTCGGCGAGCAAAACCTCGACCCCACATGCCATGCGCTATCCCAGCAGAATGCCTAATTCGACACGAGTGCGCAAAATCGATTAGCACTGCTCACAACCGAGTGGGCGTGCGCTGCTCAGAGCGATGCACGGAGAGTGCATGGCTCGTCCAACTTGAGCACCTCGCTGGTGGGCGATCAGAATTCTGCGGATCAAAGACGTCGAGAAATGCATGTATGCTTGAAAGAGCAGTCTGCGACTACAATTTTGTGGGTGGAGGGAGTCATGGCAGTGACTTGACAAGTCAGGCTGTCGGCCCGCTCAGCGTGAGTGTGGGTGAATGCATGTGTACAGCATCGCGGCTCACACGCCAGAAAGTCGCGATGTTCGCAAGGAGGGGGTGACGCGGAAGGTAGGCGAGCATCGAAAGACTCGCGTCATAGTGCGGTGCTTGAATGACGAAACCAAAGAGACGACGCGCTCCGAAAAGCTGCTTAGAAGCGCAGCGCTTGGAAGAAGTAGCGGCTCTTGCCAGATGCGTATCGTTCCTCGAACAGCTTCTTCACGACCTTCTTGGCATCCTCCTTTTGCGATGGCTCCCTCAAAGTCTCTGGGGACACTGTGCCCTTAAGACCCTCCAGCTCAAGCGCGTAACGAGTAGGTAGCAAGTGGTGGTAGTTGAAAGCCTGACAAAAGTGGCAGATCGATGGTCGTTAGCAATCTGGCCCACGCTACCTGCTTCTGTCAAAGTCTGCAACCGAGTTCATCTTGGCCTTTCCGTCGACGCCAGCAGCTGGTGGTTGGCCACAACATACGCCAGACTCGTGCTTTGTTATGTCCTCGTCCACTGTCTGATCCTCACTGCAACGCGTGCTGACTACCGTGTCCTACCTCGCTCCAAATCTCTCGGACCCCCTTCGATTCACGCGTCTTCTGTGCTCACCTTGACGAAAGGTTTGACCTTGCTCCTCTGTGCCAACTTCTTTGCGCCCATGCCCTTGGTCACTTTGCGAGGCTCACGCTCGATGCCGGCAACGATTGCGTGAGGGAAAGGGTGCTCGCGGGTTCCTTCGTCGTATTGCTTGATGACAACGACCTGCATGGAACGGGCCATGATCAGCTAGCTGCACATAATTGGAAATGGCTAGGATGCTCACCTTCTTGCCGGCGAAACGGCCCTGGAGGACGACGGCGACCTTGCCTGGCTTGTAAATCTTCGGCATCTTGAGCTACCAAAGCAAACAGGGGGGCAGGCTCGTGTAAGCAGACTTATTCACGGAAGGTGGCCAAAGATTACGCGGATGTGGGCGTCAGAGCTGCAGACAGCTAGCGAAGCATCTAAGGGGCCTCCCTGCCGAACAACACCCAAGCAGGTTAGTGGCTACAATGGGGGATAGCCCGAGCAGTCACTTCCCATCGCGCCTGTCTTCCTCCCGTTCATCCCGTTTCCAGCATCTGCCGATCCCGCCCAACTATTCGCCGATTCCCTCAGCATGGCCGGGAGAGTGCATACGGGTTCGCCCTTCTCGACGGCCTACACGCTGATGGGCGTCGAAGCAAGTGCAGAGCTTCGAGTCCACGCTGAAAGACACTAGACTGGCATTGCCAAATCGGACAAGCTGCTGTGCTGCGCAATGCCGTCTTGAGATATGAGCGAATATACTCACAAATAGGTGTTGTTGATGTGGGGTGAAACTGATGGGGATGAGAGTGCTGTGTGACGATGTGCGCTTCCCTATGTCATGTATACTCAGACTCTCGTGATGTCAAAGCCCGTCCTTCTGATGAGAGCCGCTTCTGGACTTGTGACTGCAGCTGCGGTGCGCTCTGCAGCCAAATTCAGGACCCACAGCGCGCGTCCGCGCGAGCGCGCGCGCGGCTGGAGCTCTTGAGCCGCAGCCACGTGGTCAAACACGTGGTCGCAGCTCGAACCAGCGTCTCGCAGGAAGGCGCGCGTCCGAGAAAGCCAGTCAGGGCCAAACCCAACCGCCTTGCGGTCGTAGTCACAAGCAAGTAGGCTCTTTCCCTACCAGCACCCGCTCTCTACAACCCAGCACCTCTAAACCTCAAGGTAAGCATCCGGATCTCTTCACTGGCGCATTGCTGGCTCTGCTAGTGTTTCGTAAAACGGCACCTGTGGGTCTGGGGCAGAGACAGCGAGAGACGCGTACAACCAGCATGGAAGGACGGGGAGGCAGGCGGATGCGCGGCTGCAAGGGTTGCTTTGAGCTTAGACCTTCGGAAGCGATATGGTTGAGAGCACGAGAGCACGAGCGAAGCGTCAGGCTGGGCTTGGTGCTACTCTGCGCCAAGTATAGGAGTATCAATCGTTTGGGGACATCCATGTGGGGCCGAGATGGAGATGGCCCAGGGTCGCAACTTCGAGCACCCAGTTGTCAACAATGACCACGGGCCCTGCATCGTTAGGCCTAGCAGATGGCATCTGTGACCGAGCCGCAGCCCAAGGATTGATCAAGCTCAGAAGCTGACCTCGAACGACCATCTGCTGCAGACTAGTCAAAATGGCCAAGCCTCGTGGACTGAACGCCGCGCGCAAGCTGCGCACGATCCGCAAGGACAACAAATGGGTGAGTTCTTCCCGTCGCCCGATCTTTTCGAAAGACGCGGCGACCTTTCCCTGACACTGTGGAACAATTTCTTCCCTTGTAGGCTGATGCGCACTACAACAAGCGCATGCTCGGAAACTTCTACAAGTCCTCGCCCACAGGAGGTTCATCTCAGGCCAAGGGCATCGTGCTCGAGAAGGTTGGTGTCGAAGCCAAGCAGCCCAACTCCGCCATTCGAAAGTGCGTTCGTATTCAGCTCATCAAGAACGGAAAGCGTGTGGCTGCTTTCGTCCCCAACGATGGTTGCTTGAACTTCATCGATGAGAACGACGAGGTTCTGATCTCTGGTTTCGGTCGCAAGGGAAAGGCGAAGGGTGACATTCCCGGTGTCCGTTTCAAGGTGAGCTTCTAGCGACTGGCTTGACAATCAGCGGAGGCGGGTACACATACAGTCTCGCTTGCGGTGGCATGGGTAAAATAAATGTCTCGCGCAGATTCTGACTCCACGTCGATTTCTGTGCATTCCCACAGGTCGTCAAGGTGTCCGGTGTCTCTCTCTTGGCTTTGTTCAAGGAGAAGAAGGAGAAGCCTAGAAGTTAGATTGCCTCGCACCAAAATCGCCTGACCCGCACCTGCGGCAGCCATGCCGAACACCTTGTACTTCCGTCATTCTATGACCCCACGCATCACTGCCATGCAATACGATTTGGCTAGGCTCTCGTCACAATTCCTCGAGATTGCATTAGCTTGCATGGTCGGTGGTGTTTTTGAGGGGGTCGAGCGGGCTCGAGCGTGAATCGCGGTCGGTGGGGTAAGTGTACGCACAGCCAGCATCATCCGTGCCCAGACTGGACCACGCGCACTCGCAACGACTCTGCGGCGCTTACGGGAATACAGCCTTGTTCTATCAAGGCTCGCATAGAGCTCAAGACGTGAAACGTCTCACTGGGCTACTCTTTCAAGCGCGCCTATCTGACCCTGCTTTGGCCCTCTGCGCCCATCCGAGGAGGTGTGTACTGCATCTTCACACGGGCGCGAGCGCATGCATGGAGTCCTAGATCCCTGTGTGCCAATCGTACTGCGCAGCCAGCATCAGTCTCATCAGTCACGAGTGTCTCTGGCAACGGCTGGCCCATAACTTGCACAGTCAAAGTGGGATGGGTGTGCAAGCTTAGTAAAAAGCCCTCGTCTCTCTCAATGACCTCAGTCTCGTCAGGCGCTTTCGCTGTCATCTGATGAAGGTCGATTGAGCAGACAAAGCTCACCTTCGGAGATTTATGACTGCTCGATGAGGCACAGGCACGCGATGAGGCTCGTCCTCAGGCGGTTGTCTTTCTGTACATCTTCACGGCGGGCTGTGCCCGGTGCGCACACCTCGTGAAGTATCGCACGCTCCCTTGACCATGACGCTCGGTCTGGCCTTGACAGATGCAGCCGGAGTGTTGTAGAGCATTGTTGTAGTTGCGTGACCAATGACCACGCAGATGAAGGTGCCTTGTCTTTCTGTTCCACTGAACTACTACTGACCTGTGTTTCTGTTCGACTTGCGATGCAGGTCGCTTGTGCGAGCCGAGCAGATCGACATCACGCTACAATGAATGAGCCTCGAGTCGTCAGTCAAGAATGAGTGAATGGTGAGTCTAGCGAAGCCGAAACAGAGTCGCAGGTCGTAATCACTCAAGACTCAAAAAGACTCTTGACTTTGACTTCTTCTTGCCTTGTGAGATATGTATGCACACCACGTGACTCCCAACTGTGGCTCCAGACACAACTTGACTCTTGACTGACGCTCCGTTCGGCTTGCTCTCGGTCATCACCAGCATGCACTCATCAGACTCACGACCCCGTCACTTTCATCACCGAAAGCGGCGGGAGAGAAAGGTGGCGCGCATGCCGTGTGTCGTCATGCACCACGAACCTGCTCACGTACGCAACGGCATGGAAGTAGAGAAGTGTATGGCAGCGCAGCTGCAGCTGCATGAATATACATTATATAAGGGTCCGCTGCGCTGCTGCCGCTGGGAGCGGGTTAGAGTCGTGCAGTCGGCTTTGAATTCTCTTCTTCATTCGTGATTATTCATGATTTTAAATCGCGCAATGCACGGAGGCAGAGACACTTCTTCCTCCGTACTCCGAATCCGGGAGTGGGGCGCGCTCGCTCATTTCATGCTGGACGCAGCGCAGCACGAATTACGGATCGTGGATGGCTCGAGGATGGGTGTTGGGAACGTGTTAGGCGTCAAGGTCTACTCAGGCGGTGCGCTGCCCGTAAGCATGGCCGTTGAGACTGCTTCAGCTCGCAATGCTATTCGAGGGAGACCACGCACGAGTCGTCGGCAGTGTGAGTCGCAGTCTTGAGTGAGTCACGAGTCGTGAATCACTATCAATCGATGCTGTGCCCTTATCATCCCACGAGTACCCACGCCCCCGTTTGGGCAGGCCGCGGCTATGACGACGCGGTGCACAGCTGATGCATGTACGGTACCTCTACAGCTATTTACCGCAGATGAGGAGTTGTTGGGTAGCTATTACTCGATCACGACAACTCATGATGACTATAGACAGACCGCGCTGCATGCTGTTTGCATCGCGCGCGCGCTCGCATTTTGCCGCTGACTGACGCTACGCATGCAGTTGGCGATTTGAGGTTGGGACTGAAATCAAGAATTCAAATCTGGATTCAGCTCAATCGTAGATTGAAATGCTCCCGGCCTTGCCGTGACTCGGCTGCCGCCGGTCTCATTTGGTCAGTGATCGTGGATGGGGCTGACCTCATTAGATCATCCACGCCATCTATCCTCCTCGTCCGCCCCCGGGGCGCGGGTCACCGCTTCTTGCCTCCTTCACAACGCCACGTTAGCCCTACTTCGTTGATATCCGCCGCGATACAGCATATACGTACTCATCACAGGATTCCGGCGAATTGCACCCGGCGCCTAACGGCTACTACCGCGATGTGGCGCAGCGGCCATTCTTGATTAGCACTCGAGAGCTCCAAAGGCACGTCCCACTTGACTATATGAAGCGTTGCTAATAGTCTTGGCTTTGCTCCCAATCCGCCAACTTGCGTTCCGTACTGAGCTACCTCCTGGAGGGCTCGATCGGCTGTGCAACGTCTTTGCTGCAGTCGAGCGACCCACGAATCTGCCAAGCCTCAGCTTTCAACTTGGAGTTCTTGCTGCAGTGCTCGGCAAATGGCAATTCGGACGGTTGGAGGGGTTTTAAGCACGACTGTTCCACAGCCTTAGCCTGCTTCTGAAGAGCTCGGAGCACACATACAAGCAATCACCAACAAATAAGCAAAAGTACGAAGATGCGCGGGCACGATGGCATTGAGAGAGGTGGCTTTGTGATGCTCGACGACGAGAGCATACACGCTGTCAAGGCCTTCAACACCACAGGCGCGAGTGAGACGGGAGAAGGCGGCGAAAGCACAACGATGGCATCACGGCAACTCGGAGCTCGGCAGCGAGAGTTTGGCTCCTCATGGGGACCGTGGCCTCTACGCACGACTAGTCGGAGGCCACAGACGTCAGCAGAGTCAGGCTCTGTCTACCCACCTTCGTCTTCGGCTGGCTCTGCCAGGTCGTCTTCCACCTCGCCTCCTTCGCCTTACAGACCTACGCTGGACTCGCCGCCACCAACACCGCCTGATTACGGCAATTTGAGGACTTGCGGCATCTCCAATCAGCCCCGAATCGCATCCGATCTTGCGGATGCGCGACCGGGCGAGGGGGAGCTATTGGCATCAAAGAGTCCTTCCACGTCTACAGCTCTGAAGCTAGCTACCGCCACCTCTCCCTCGCGAAACGATATCTTCTCGCACCCGAGTCCACGTCTCGCACCTGCTCCAAAGCTTCCGCGAAAGTCTGCCGAGCCAGGAATAGGAGACTCTCCAGCTAGTGTGAAAAGTCGAAACAGCCTGTTCTTCGACAGTCCTTCTGTCGAGACTGTGCTTACGCCGCTGTCGCCTTCACGATCTCCTCTGCCCGCGCGTGCCCCTGCACTACCTCTTGTTGCACCGAACTCAATACGGGACAGCTGCGAGGATACCGAAGAGGGGCTCAGAGAGGCGGCATTCTCTCCGGCAACCAGCACCTCTGAACGGCCGGCATATGGCAGAAGCAGCACAGAGGAGCGAGAACGAGAGCGCGACAGGATACGTGCAAGCAAGGACCTTGACTTTCGTCTATGTCCTGACAAAGACTTTCTCTTGGGCGAGGGCAGGCACTGCAATGTATTCCTTGGCTCTTATCGCACCAAGCACTCGACTCGTCGACCGAGCCACTGCCGTCCACACGCTGCCACTGACAGTGATGACGAGCACGACGACGATGGAACAAGCGACTGGAGACTTTGCGCTGTTAAGCGACTACATGCGGATCGCCAGAGCCAGTTGCTCGGCCTTGACGAAGCTTTTGCACTACGACGATTGGGATATCATCCCAACGTTGTGCGGCTCATCGACGTTAGAGACGAGGTAGAATTGGCGGCAACAAGCCCTCAGCCGGGTGCAAATTCGGGGTCGTGGGCCGAAACTTGCACCTCGATGGACGTTCCCTCCTCCACCGAATCGCAGCAAAGCAATTTCTATCACGGCCGATCCATCTCCTCGGCCCTACCTCGTACTGCTATTTCTCCCGATTCCCTCGCCCCTCGCGTTGAGCGGCCGGAGTCATCTAGCAAGATTCACCGTCGCCTTGGTTCACAGCCTATACAGGACAGTGAAAGAAACACCATAGAGCCTCCAATGCTCCGAGTCGCTGGTCCTGATGACGCTGGAAACGGCAGGTCGATGTCGAGGAGCCCGTCCACATCCGGTGGACTGGACACCCGCCGTAACATTTCAACGGATCGCCCGCAGTCCAGCTCATATTCTGCAGATCCCCCACGTCTTTTGATCTTGCTCGAGCTACTGCCTATTTCGCTGGCCACTTTCTCTAGGAAGCACCCAGAAGGCGTGGACCTGCGCCAATGGTCAACCTGGGCCTTGCAGCTGGCACGGACGGTCCAGTGGATGCACGCTCGAGGGTGTGTGCATGTGGACATCAAGCCAGAAAATATATTGGTATGTCGTCAGCCATTTGATGGGAAGCGGAGCCTGAGCTTACGTTCCAGTCTTTCCTCACCTGTGGATGAATCAGCTTTCTGAAGGCTTGGACGTAAAGCTGTGTGACTTCAACTCCGCAGTCTTCCCAAGTGCAGGCACTCCGCTGCTTGACGGAGCTGGGCTAGGCACGCCCGCGTACGGTGCGCCCGAGCTTACGCGGGGAGCATCAAGCTCCAGCCGAAACGGATTCTCCTATCCTGTAGATATTTGGAGCATGGGAGCAGTCCTCTATGCGCTCGCAACCGGAGTCGCTCCACTCGCCAAGAGCAGATCGATGATCGATATGCTGTACCGGAAGCGCGCGTTCTTTGAGAGCGAAGAAAACGATCGCGTCGCTAGGATCCACGTCGCCGGTGGATACAATGGCAGCGTAGCAGGAAGCAATGCTGCGAGTCGGAACAGCAGCTTGCGTGGTCGGAATCGCCGCGCCGCGCGACAGTCGGCATCCGAAACCGTTGCGAATATCGCTAGCTATACGCCGCAAAGCCACTCTTTGCGGCGCGAAGCGAGCATGGAAAGTATCGACAGCGTCAGCAGCAATATCTTATTGGAAGACGGCCGCCGCACCGTTCCACTCAGAGCCGTCAACATGCTGTTGAGCGACGCTCCCTTGATTGGCGTCTTGCCAACCGATCATGTGATCTTCAAGGGAGCAGCCGAGTTGGAGCCCAGCCGGAATGGTACCATCGTCGCCGCCGCTCAACATCATCGCACAGCTTCCCTGGGCAAAGCGCATTTGGCTTCCAAGCACCCTCATGCACAAGTAGGTCCCGAAAACTCAACTGCGAGCAACGTCCAATCTGCCGCACAGGTCGCGTGCCGTCCCGTGCGGCCCGTGGCAAATTTCCGTCGGGCCACATCCTACGGCGCCGCGAATTCCACAGTAGAAGATGACACCTTCGTCATGCAGCCTACGTCTGGGCCTCTCCGCTCATCAATTCCTGTCAAGAAAGCGCCCACTGGCTCCAATGGCCTGCTATCGCCTCCGCAGTCGCCTCAAGTTTCCATCCACCGGCTGTCTAGCAACAATACCGGATCTCTACATGCCGGACTCAGATCAGCCCTCTCTGCTGCATTCGCGCAGCATGCGCATCGCGCCGGACAAGACGTCAGCTCAATAGCGCAAGAGGCAGGTTCAAGCGTCGAGGGCAGAGCACGTAGCGCTTCGGGTGCTAGTGCTCTGGTGCTGCCACGGTCGCCGCTTTCTGCATCGTATCAGACACCTGAATTTGGAGCTGATGGACAGAACTTGCAGGTGGACGATGAGGAGGTACTTGAAGAAGACACGCGCCCTTACAATGATGGTACGCCAGCCCTCCTGCTGCCCGGCGGAGGCCGTTTGCCAGATGGCGCTCGCGCTCTCTTGGAACAGATGTTGGCCTTCGACCCTGCCAGACGACCCAGCGCTAGCCAAGTCGTGTCCGCCCTGGAGCGCTTGACGCTGTTGAGAACATGAGGCCATCGTCCGAGGCATCGGCCGGCTTCACGCCGCTAGCTGTTTTTCCCGCATGGTCTTCCCGAACAAGCAAGATCTGATAGGTTCAGTGCGAAAACTTCCTGCGCTCTTCATGAAATGAATAAAAAACCTTGGACTCCCCTCCTTCCATCTTTCCTGACCGTAGCGACCTCGTCAAATCATCGCTCGTGCTGTTGTACATCATGTAAAATAGACGCTCCCATCTACTCCCACAACGGAATTGATCGTTTCTTGGTCTAGGTGCGTTCGTGATTTGACGCTATGCCCCTTCACTCCCAGACGTGCGCTCGTCGGATGTCTTGGCTTAAACAATGACTCTCGGCTCTCGCGTTGCGGTCGCCCCTCTATTGCGCCATGAGGCGTCTTGGCATGGGTTGCCGTCCAACACGTGTGGTCCCAGTCATGATGATGGGATCGAGTGCATGTCTTTCAACTTGTAACGAGCCACGGCACAGCGTAGGAACACACACGTCTTCTATGATTTGGATGTGAGTGCGTGCTGAGAGTGTTTCTCGTCGCAAGGCTGTGCAGCATGGCCGTCCGTGGCTTCGGCTTCGGCTCACGGCTTCGCGCCTTCCAGCCTATCCTACCCGGCCATGGCCGGGTCACCGCACATGCCCGCTGCTGCGATCAAATCGATTTGGCCCTATACTGTAGGTGCGGAGCCTGCGGCCGGTGAGGGTCGTGAAGGAAGCGTGGCAGGAATAAGAAATACAGGCGCAGCGAGAGTCACCAGCTCGGTCGCAGGCATCCATGCAGCAGTCGCACTTGTGCTGCATCAGCGCAGTTGCATGCAGACATCATGCAGCAGTCGGCTGCGCGACCGGGCGCGCGCGGACGCGCGCGCTCTGGCGTTCTTGACTCGTGCGAGCGAGCTAACAGGCGCGCTGCAGCCAGAATACGCAGGCGATTTTCACGACGCCGTGGCCGCTAACCTCGCGCGACTCGTGACTGACTAAATGCTCGATTTGACCCGCGCGGCTGCTGCGCGCAAGTCGTGCGCTGCTGCCAAAAGACTTTTGCACCGCCTCTTTTGGGTCTCTGCCCTTTGGGATACCCCTACCATAATAACCCAAAAGTCTCGCGGTATTCGCTCGTGACGACCCGCACCGTTCCTCCCTGCGAAGACGCAAACGTTTGTGAGCTTGAGATCTTCATCCAACATTGGCTTTGCTCAGCGAGGGGCTTGCTTTCGGATCAGAGCCATGTGCACAAAGGCTTCTTTCACGATCAGTCATCGATCTTGAGCGCGATCGTCGCTCTATCTTTGCCCAGCACAGCCACTTCGAGCTTGTGCGCTAGTCTCCATTGGATCGACGGATCAACCTTCTCGACTCTCCTCGGCTCAAGAATACTCTCACTGCCCTCACTAATCCTGATCCTTCACTACTTGCCCATCGTTGCTGCATTCAGTAAAATCTTGCACCCGCCTCGCCCTCGCAGCTTACGTCCACAGCAGCAGACATCTCTTCGACCGCACGTGGTCGCGCCAAAGTAAGTGCACCATGTAGTCAGAGTCCTATGCCTCTTCATTGCGACTCTAGCACCAATCGTTCTTTTTCTCTGCCTATCATCCTAACATCACTTCGATTTGCCAGCGATCTCTACGGCGCACTCTTTCCCATCCTTGCGATTCTGGACCATCCGCATACACCTTCTTCCGGGGAGACCTGCTGAAGAGCTCGCCGCCAGCCTCTTGCGTCGATGCAGCCCGCCTTCCAAAGCAAGTCTTCTCATTCGCCGTCCACATCTTTTGTATCGGGCGATTTGCCAGCAGCCTCCGCGGAACAGAACGCAGGAGATTTGACATCACCAGAAGCTCATTGGAACAACACCGCATCCGTCAGTCAGGGGTGGGAATACAGTGAAGCAGGGGAGGTTGCGCCTTCAAGCTTTCAGCAGCTCGGCGCCGATCAGTACCAAGGAGGGTGAGTCTTCACCGCTTTGTCGGCCTCATACTTAGATCCTAGCAAGCCTGACCCACACACATTTTTTCTGCGAGTCTCGAAAGGTCTGAAAGGGATCAGCAAGCCGATCAGTTGAGCCAGTACACGCCTTCATACGCAGATTCAAACGCGGACATCGACTTTGCGTCCCAGTCAGATCTTTTAGCAGCCATCGCCGCTGGGCAGGTTGGGGCTACTGGTGACTTGGCCTACGACCCGGACACGGTCGATAGCTACTCCAACCTCTTTGGCCTAGACCAGCTGCCCTGGGCAAGCAATAGTATTCCAACTAGCACATCCCAGCAACCTTTCTCGGCTCCGGCCCACTCTCAACAATTCTCGCTGCTGCATTCCGGTCCCTCTGCACACGACTTGCAGTCCTCTCTTCAGCAGTCCGAGCAGGCAACCAGCGCCATATCACCAATCGTTTCGCCCTTGCTCAACAACGCCTCGCCGTCCCTCTCACAGCCAGCTGGAGCGTCGAACCTTGGATCTGGGCCTCACGGGAGCGCGTCAGGAACTGGTCTCACTCAAGCCGAGGAAGCCTGGTTGCAAAGCCTCGGCCAAAGGATATCATTGCAAGACGCAAATAGTGGAGAGGTACAAGCTCCCGCTGAGCAAATATTTGAACCAGTCTTTGAGGAAGACGAGGAAACTGCTGCACCTCAATTTGAAGCAGGCCAGCACGTCATGCAGGACATTCACACCAGAGGTGAGACGCCCCAGGTGCCAACCCTGAGTATCAACGATACGGCACTTGAAGGCAGCGACCTGATGCAGCAGGACCAAAGTGGTCAGCAGCAAACGCAGCATGCGAATCCTTTCAATTTCACTAGTCAACCAATGCGGGCGAATAGTGATCTAGCATTTGGAGATGGACACCTGTCAGGACATGGGCGGGCCATTTCGACGGGCTCTATACCGACCGCGCCGGTCCAGAACGCCACTCTGGCTGGTTTTGCAGAATGGCCTGCTGCCCTCCAGATTGACACCTCCAAACGACGAGCAAATGTTCCTGTCGAGTACAGCAATGTGTCGCAAGCATCTATGAGCTCCTTGTCAGGCGCGATGCCTTCACAGACCCATTCTGACAAGGATGGAAGCTCGAACACGCTTTCGGTCAACGCAGGTCTGCCTCCCGCTCGTCAAGACTCGTACGAAAAATTACGCAAATTTCTCAAGCTGGATGTGGACATGGGCTTCTTGTCTGCCAAAGGATCGGGAGTCGACTCGCCGACGGGTACTGGTATGACTGCTTGGAGAAGGCGGTCAAACTCGGATGTGGGGCCCCGATCACCTGTGACTGGTCCTGGAGCTGGGGCGTCTCTATTCAGCGTTATTCCTGGCGGTGTAACAGACAAGACACCCACTGCAATGACTGCCGGAGTGGACTGGGCCACTCAGACTGCCAAGGTCAGGGCTGCCAGAGATCTCGCAGCACAGGTAGCTGCGGCGCCAAGGACATCGTCATCTTCTTCGCAAGCACCGCCGGTAGCGGTCGAGTTTGCGCCGACCTTGGAGCCGCACATGCTGCAGCGCTCAGACGACGCTGCGATGGCTGTAGACTCTCAGTTTTCGGTCTCTCCGGCACAAGGGCAGCAAAATCCAGCTAGCGTCAGCGCATCTCCAAGCGATCAGTTGTCTTCAGCCGGTGGTGTTGGACCGGTCAGGCGCGACATGGCTAGCCGCAGGGAATCGAACGCAAGATCACCATATCACGCAAGAGCAGGAAGTAGCGGGACCGCGTCGTCGCATCGCCCGCTGCCTTTGGCCGGACTTTCCGCGCCCATTGGAGGGCCCGCTCTCTTTGCTTGGCAGTCCAAGCCCTCTCCAGTCGCGACTAGCTTCGGCGACAATATGAGCTCCTTGCGGCGCTCACAATCTGCACGGGACCCTAAAAGAAGCCATAGACGTGGAGCGGGCAGCGAGGATCTATCGGACATGGCAAGAGGGAAGATCGGCGAGCCAGGAGAGTACCTCGCGCGCGTTACGGCACCAGATGGTTCGCTGGCCCCGCCTAGTCTGAACTCGTCCATCGGCGGTCCACCTAGCGCAGCCTATTATGCTGGAGTCGGCGCACGAGGTGGTGCCGCTGGCAACGCGTACCGCGTCAGTCATGATCGTCATCCTTCTTGGGAGTCCAACACGAGCAATTCGAGCACCGGCAGTGTCAGCATGGAGCCAGGCGGCTCGCCCGAAAGACCTTTGGGAAGCTTCAATCCCCGCTTGCCTGGTATGCCTGCCGTCTACACGCCTGGCTCGCTTGCCGCAGGTGTACCCGGATCATCCTACCATATGATGGGTTTTCGCGGCGGGAATTCACCGGGTGGCCAGCTGCCATCGAACGTGTCGCCATCTACTGCTCCTCCGCATCCGCTGGGCTACTCGATGTATTCTCAAACGGCCCTGCCGCAGTACAGCTCCCTCAGCACGCCGCCTTCTGCAGCTTCCGCCAACGCATATGCGTCGTCTTCTTCGGTTCCCCCGCCTCAACTGCCACCGGATGGTGTTATGCCACCCATCCAGACGGTGACCACGAGTGCGACTCAAGCGGCCAGCGCCAGTCGCCGCACAAATGCAGCTATACACTATTGTCCCGTGCCAGGCTGCAATTCCTCCTTTACCAGGAAATTCAATCTGAACGGACACTTGCGGTCGCACACAGGAGACAAGCCGTTCAAGTGCCGAGAGTGCGGCAAGAATTTTGCAAGGCACTTCGACCTTTCCAGGCACGAACGACTGCACTCGGGCATCAAGGCGCACACGTGCGAGAGTTGCGGCAAAAACTTTGCTCGGATAGATGCGCTACGTCGCCACTTGCGATCTGATGGTGGCCAAGGTGGATGTGCGGCCAGGCTGGGCTCCGTGCCTGCATCGCAGGCGCAGAGCACCAATGGCAACGGCAACGGCGATCTCAGCCCCGGCTCGCCATCGACGAGCGAGATGAGGAGCATCTCCCCTTCTGGTTCTGCAGTTGCTGGACAAGGTACACAATACACCCATCCCACCATTCCGATCGCCTCGAACGGAAGTGGCCGCTTCGTTGGTCACGCCATGTAAAATGTACTCTCTCCACTCACGTTTGCCCAAAAGCCGATCGACGGTGTTGCTTCGAAGGGAACGTAGCCTGGTCCCCACGCCACGAGATGATGAAGCTGTGCGCGCATTCGCTAGGTAAGGTGCCCGCAACGAGTCACGAGCCAGCGCTGGTTCTTTCGCTCGCTTGCTCTGAAGTGCATTGCGGTGAAAAGTCATGCACAGAATGTGGGGCCACATATCTGATCCCGCTCTATGGGCGTCAGACTGCCAGGCTCCTTTTTCGGTCTCGCCTCTGCAGCGGGATCAATGTCGGTGTGAAGGTGCGGATCTCGGGCCCGACGCGCGGGTGCGGATGGGGCCGAAGCTGACAGCCACGCACGACTCTGACTACACTCACACTGCTGTGGACTGTGACTGCATGCATGGTGCTGCTAATTCACGATTGACGTGCAGATTTACAAGCCACACGCGTCGGGTAGACCCAAGCAGGCGCGTGTTGGTCGCCCTTTGCATGCAGCCTGCAGGGGCATGAAAAGGTCGATGGTTTAATTGTAGATCAGCCAATTGGCTGAGTCTTGCATGATGGCGATTGAGCGAACGACGTGCCGGAGGGTGTCAGAGTCGTGAGTCGGGAGTGAATGGTGCATGTCTCGGGACTGCACGCTTGCTGATGGAACAAGACATGTGTTTCATGAACGATGGATGCGTTCGTCCTGACTCTCCATGCAGACGCGCGGAGCGCATTGCGGGCTTGCATGGTCATGTAATAACGATGGACGCGTCCTAAGCATATCGAGAATATAGGCTTCCGACGACGCCATCCTGCCAATGCCTCCCTCGTATATATAGCCCTGCAGCATTGTGATTTTCCGGAAGCGAGAGGTTGCGGTACCGGGTACACTTAGAAGTCGGACTTTGAAAAAGAGACCAAGTAGCACCCCTGAAGATGTGCTTCGAGCATTCCGAGTGACACAAGACCTCGACCGCGGACTGTCAAGTCTGATGAGTGCATCTTGAGGCTGTCTTGCCGCAGCTCATGTCCCCGTCTGTGTCGGTGAGCAATCTCCGTTCCGCTTTATTCTGCTGGAGATCATGCCAACGGATAGCGTGGGACCCTTTTGTGTGGCTGTTGCTTTGCGATCCGACCGCAGGGCTTGGGCCGTCATCTGGCGGGGCGCGAAGCACAGCACATAGGAAGGTGTGAGGCCCCTGGACAAGACACGGCACATCTCAGGAATAGCGAAGTTGGAGCACATAAAAGGAGGGCATCATCGGAAGTCTTGGATGGAGTATACGCACACCTCTCCCTCGTCCATTCCCGGCTGCCCCGCCTCACCATGCCGTAACATTCTGCCTCGCCTCCTTCGAACACCAACAACATGCGCTCCACGTTTGATCTTCGTCTCCTCCTCGCCTCGCTCGTGTGCAGCTTGGCTCTGCTGCGCACAGCATCCGCCATTCCTGCCACGGAGGATGGGCTGCTGATGGCTCGCGGAAATGCTGGCGTTGGCAAGCGCTGCTCCGCTTCGCCGCAATGCAAGACGGGTCTGTACTGCAAACGGGGATCCTGCTCTGCCAAACGAGACGTCGGAGGTCCTTGCTACAAGAACAATGGCGTGAGTCTGTGAACGAGCTGCCCGATTGTGATGAACAAGCTGCTGTGGCCCTGACTGACGCGACGATGCCTTTGGTCTTGAACACTCCCCATAGTGCATCTCGGGCAAGTGCGTCAAGTCTCGCTGTGCGGCCACCTCGACTCCAACGCTGCTCCCTGTCGGCTCCAAGTGCTCCACGAGCGCCGCTTGCGCCTCGGGCTACTGCGGTCGCTCAAAGTGTGCAGCCAAGCTCGCTGATGGAGAAGCGTGCTATAAAGACGTGAGTACAGGTCCGATGTGGACGGCGTCACTGAGTTTCAAAAGTCAGGCAAATATCGACTTGGATCGCACTCCACCACTCGCACAGAACGGCTGCACTAGCGGCAAGTGCACAAACGGCAAGTGCGGTGCAGGAACAACGGCGCCCACCAACCCGCCGGTGATTGTAGCTGGCAACCGAGTGAGCAATCCGAGCTTTGAAGACGGCACGCTCTCTGCCTACACCACCAAGGGCGACGTGAGCATCGGCTCTGCTCCAGGCGCAGCGTACGATGGCACGTACTACGCCATCCTGAAGTCTGCTCAAGGCGTCACTGCAAGTCTTGGACAAAGTACGAGCGTAAAGCGGGCAATCACAAATTCTTATCAAGTCAAATTTCAATATCGCGTCCGTGCGCTGTCAGGCAGCACAAGTCGACCATTTTGCTACATCGCACCAGCCATCAATGGGTTGGCCGAAGCAGCTGCAGAGCCCGACTTTTTTTACGCTGCAGTGAATCAAACTGGCTGGACAGAGTACAACAAGCTGTTGCAGAGCGAGCCGACGATCAATAGCATTGAAATCTTTACATTTTGCAACAGCGTCACAACGGCTACGTTCGATGTCGATGCTCTCAGCTACGTACAGGACCTGCAGGGTGGACATCCAAACAACATCAACAACGTCGGAAACCTCATCATGAATGCCAAATTTGGAGAGTACGCCAATCCTGGAGCGTATTGGAGCACAGAAGGCAATGTCCAATTCACCGACGCTGGCTATCCCGTCTACACGGTCAACCAGAAGAACAATTACTACGCGTGAGTAGTCTCTCTTCACCGACGGAACGTCGCTCGAAAATAGTAGTCCGCGTGCGATGATTGTGCTTCCTGCTGACGCAGATTCCGGACCTGTGGCCCCCTGCATGCAGACTTTTGACCGCGCCTAGCGGAGGTCTATCAGCGATTTACCAAAACTACAACGTCTACCCAGTCGACGGTGTCGAGCCGTACGGCATCAGTCCTGGATTTGTTCACTTCGTATCCTCCTTTTCCCGCTCTGCATCCACGCCCGATGCGGTTTGTCGACTTCGCACAACCATGAACGGTATCGCCTACTCGGACGATATCGTCATCGACGCCGCCAGTCCCGATAACGGACCGGACGAGACGTACTTTATCGAGCACAATACCATCTCTGGAACGTTTGACCAGCCTGGACTAGACAGACCTTTTAGACTCGAGGTCAACTGCGATCAAGGCGCACAGGCTTCCGTAAGGCTCGACCACACCGCCATCTTTGCCGGACGCGACAAGTGAATGGCAACGCCCTATAGCGCCAGATTGCACCGCCGCCGCCGCCGCTAGGCCCGCCTCTCTTCGATCTCGCTCAATTAACACAGTCCACAGTCTACGCACTTTCGTTTTCAGTGCAAGTCTTCTTCTCGTTAGCCTTGCCTTCACCCCTCGTACCGCGTCACCTCTGTCACCTCGCTGCACTCTCAGCTCATGCGCATTGCCTGCCCAATCGTGTATCTCGTGTTCACATCGCGTAATGCGATGATGCGGAAACACTTTCGGACCACGCAAGATGCATTTTCGATGTGATATGTGTGTGATAGTTTGGCAATGGCAGCGGTCTCACAATTGCCCGCAGCTTTGGGAGACACCCTTGAATACAAGTGACTCTTAGGCTTCTTGGTCTGCGACGTCGACCTGCTCATTGACACCGCAATGCACCTCCTCACGTGCTGCAGAGCCTCGCGCAGGCTCTGCCTTCCCTTTCTGTCCCTACCCAAGGACAGCACACAATGAGCTCCGCTTGGCGCCGCGGCCATCGAAAGACCAAGACATTTAGCCAATGAGATCTCCCATCGCGCCCATTTCTGCTCCTCCCATCTCGCGCATACCTGTGGCAGTGCAAGCACGCACAACGTGGTCAGCATTTGACCGCGCGAGACCCATTCAAACACGCGAAGCACGACTCACCCAGCTCAAAGTAAGACTGCGAGGTGCGGGCGAGTGCAAAGTGTGGCACAGTTGGATCAGTGGTATATCGCAACGACAGCCTGTCTCGCTCGACTCACAAAGATTGTGGTGCTTGCGAGGAGAACTCCAGTACCGCTACCGAATGCTCCGATGAGGTCTGCAGCGACGCTGCCGAGCGCAAAGCAAGAACGAAGTGGACCAGATAACGTTAGTCGAGTGTGCGAAGGCGGTTGCTCGCAAGACCCAACACACTCACGAGAGAGCACCAATCGTAGCGCCTCCGAGCATAGCAGCGCTGGGAATGACGCGCTTCAATTCCTTGTACATACCGCCCTCTCGGTGTCCAGCCATGACCATTTGAGCCTCCTTGAGCTGCTTAGCGACTTCTCTAGGTCCACTTCCGCTGACTTCAATCCAAGCTTTGCTAAATAGGGCGCAAGCGGTGCAGGTAAAGATGATGTAGACCGCAGTGTGGACAGGATCTCCAACGACTTCCTTGAAGGTGTGTGGTGGAGACATGTAGTAAGAGATACCGCTGATGGCGTGCAGCTGAGGTGAATCTTCCATGGGTTCCCAAGTTCCCAACAATTTCACCCCCAAATTCTTGGGAAAGCGGGAAAAGAGCATTTGAGAGATGATGAAGACGTTGGACGTCAGCGCGCTCTCCAACATGATGGGCATGTTGGAAGTGTAGAAGAGCTTCACTGGGTACGTTCCTCTTTGACCTCTAAATCGGTTGGACTTGACTGGAATTTCGATGCGGAAACCTTGGAGGTAGATCACGACCAAGAAGACGACCAGAGTGGCCACCAGATTCATGACGTTTGGAAGACGTTCGCGATAGAAAGCCTCTTTGAGTGCCCGAGTCTTATCGTTCCAAGTGAAGAGCAGGTGGAAGAGTGCGACCAAAGCACCCTCGAATTCGGGACCACGCCCAGTGTTGATGGTAGTGGGTGAAAAGGCTTTCCAAACAATCGACTCGCAAATGTTTGTTGCGATGAAAAGAGAGATACCAGAGCCCAGACCATAGCCTTTTTGCAAGAGCTCGTCAAGGAGGATGACGATTAGGCCGGCTACAACGAGCTGCAAGATGAGCAAAAGGCAGACACCTGCTCCCAGGTCCGCCGGTTGGCCATACAGCCCCGTCAGCACGTACACGGTTGCTTGGCCAAGCGAGATAATCATTGCAAAGACTGCGATTGCGACGGCAAGGGGGATGTTGAGTACCTGCTCGTGCAAAGAATAGTCCGATCGACTCACGCTTCTGAGCACCGCCGAAAAGAGCGCGATCTTCCTTGAGACTGAAGTCTACCTCGACCAAGTTGGCACCAGCCAAGAGCTGCATGATCATACCACTCGTGACGATGGGTGAGATGCCAAGTTCCATGAGTGTACCTCTGTTGGAGGCGAGAATGACACGCATCCAGTAGAGCGGATCCGAAGAATCAGATGACATGATACCGTAAAGCGGAATTTGGGAAGAGACCAAGAAGATTCCCAAGACAATAGCTGTCCACGCTATACGAGACTGAAATGGTACTGCGGGCAACAGAGCACAAGTGATCAGCATGCGTACGCTGCGGCGGCTGTCACTCGAGAGTGAGAGATGCTTACCCTTGCGCTCTGGAGCTGATACCTCGGGCAAGATCGACATGAAAGGTCGCACAAGCGACAGAAAGCGGACTGTATGCGTTGATGCGTTTCGGCAAGAGTAGATGCTTTAGTGTCAGCTTCGTGACGAATGGGCGTCTTTTGTTGGCGTTGCGGCGATGCACTCTTGAAACTCACAACCACTCATGCTGGGCAACGATGCTCTCTGCTATGCCAGCTTCTCAGGAACCGCTAGTGTCAAGAGTGACGTGCCGAGAGCTGATGTCGATGGCGCAGCAGATGCTGGCGAGCCTCTCGCGAGCTACGGAGGTGAAGTAATCGAGGCGTCTGGCTAAGCGATCCAAGCTCCCGGGTTGACTGCGTAGGCAAGTGTCTCGAAGTGGGGCGGATGACGGGGCCGACGCGACCAAGCTCGAGTGGAAGAGCTTCGCGCTGCTATTTGTCTTCGAGGTGACAAGCCGGTCGAGCTATCGGCCAGTCTGTACAAATTGGATGGGAGACCTTTGAGAAACCTGTCAAGTGCCAAGCGATGACGCTGTGGTATGAAGACCGCTCGCTGCACGGGGTTCTTCCTACGCACCACCGCGCAGAAGCCAGATCTCTCGCCGCGAGCGCGCGGGCATCCCCGTGCGGTGCCAGCGCGCCTCGTCCAGGCACACGCGCGCCCATCCAGCTCCACGTCGCCCAGCTTGGCTCGCGGCGGCTGCGTGCAAGCGACCACGTGAGCGGTGGATGTCGTTTGCAGCTCGCAGCTCTCGTGCGAAAAGTTCATCGCTTGCCCGATCACTGAATCAAGCCTGCCTCCACAAATCACGCACAGAGCAGCTAGCTGCACTATGCTGGGCGTCCCGCACAGCGAGCGCGTATATAGCTGCGATACTCACGACTCGCGATTTGAGCGATTGCCATGGCATACAGGGCTCATATCGAGCGCAATTGCCGAGGGGCTGAATACGCAGATGATCACGATTCCTCTAATGCTGACAGCCGTCCACGCATACATCCATCCCGAAGCTAGAACTTCATCCCAACTAGTCAGGTCGCAGCAAGCTGTAGCAAGGCGTTCGTAAAGCGCCCAATGCTCCAAGAGGTGCCAAACGCATCTGCCAAACGAAGACGTTCGACCGACCCGAATCAATTCGAGAGCAGGAATTAAGCGAGCAGACAAGATGTCGGCTGCTCAGCAACTTCCAGCAGACCAGGCTCAGCAGGCCGAAACGCAGGCTCGAGTCGCGCAGGAGCAGCAAATTTCTGCTGTTGACGCTCAGACGGGAACTGAGCAAGCGCCCAGGGGTACGGAACCCATTCCCGAATCTCAACTGAATCCTGCTTTTGATAAGGTGTGTCATCAAGCTTGCAAAGGGGCGCTTCGATGCAGCCAGAGCAGGCACATGAGAGGTATGGCTTGCCATGTTGAGGCAGAGAGCGCTCAAGGGCCTCAGATGCTGCTCCACACGCGCTCGGAGCTTCTCGAAGAGGCCCAAGCGCGCAGGCAGTTTCAGGTCACCTGCTCAGCAGTCCGATTCGCGTTTACAGGCGCAAGTGCTCACTCACGCTTGCGTGTCGCCACAGGACGATCTACGACAAGGTCATCCGCCTCCTGCAGTGGCCAAAGGGATACATATTCCCAAGAAAATCAAAGTCCGTAGACCGAGAGCTTTGAAAGGAAAGCCTTGGAAGAAGGGAGAGGGCGCGGAGAATGTGACGGCAGATGACATGACTGACGAGGTGAGTCTTTGAGAGCGATGCGAGCTGTCAAGCATGCTGCTCGCTAATTCAAACTGCATGCTGACAATGACCTCTGCGCCCTGAATTTTCCTCCCGCTCCTTGCAACAATCGTAGGAGGTCGAGATGGAAGAGGTGCGTTTACGGTCGACGTCTTCGCTGATACTGCAAGTCCAGTGCACGAGACGTGAGCTATTTCGAAGCTGATCTACACACCTATCTTTCACAGGATGAAGCTGACAAGAAACCGGGTCTGATCGGAAAGATCCTTGGCAAAAGTTGATTATACTGCGATCATTACACGAGAGTTCAAGAGCACACTGTTGTGATGCTTACGACCCTCAGCGAGTATGCCACTGCAAATATAGGAGTGAGAGAAAGTCTGGTCACTCGGAATCATTGTCGACTCATGAAGGGTGCAAGCATCGCTAGAGCGAGCTTGTAGAAGCTCATCTCCCGACATGCTGGTCCGGAATCGTGACTCGTGGACGTGGGATGTAGACCTTCCATCTGGCGGAGTACTTCCACCTGGCAGACCGCGCACCAATTCAGATCCGCTTCGTAAGCGTCAATTCCCTCACATCACTTTGACTACTACTACTTGGTCGATGAGGTGCATAGAAACCATTCGTCCATTTACGGGAAGTCAAAGCCAACAGTCACAGTTGCGAGTCTGCCGTCGCCTTGGACGCATGGACCACCACGGTCGGATGTGGTGTGTGGGAACGCGCCTCACGTGCCATGGCGACATCCGTGTGATGAACTGCGTGACGCGCGCAGAAACGCAGCCAGCCCTGCAGCATCACTCACGCACCACTCAAGCATGAATCGCGGACTCGTGACTCTGACTCCATACCAAACACGCCGCGTAGCCCTCATCAGTCAAGAGTATATATATGCGCTTCCTCCGCCTCGTTCACACCCCGCCAGTCGAAGGCATAAGCACAATCGTGACCTGAACGTTCAATGTGAGTTTCTGTAATTAGATGAAGGAAGATGAAATCCGAGGATGACCCAGAAGCGTCAAGATGAACTGCATGATCCCTGACCAGCTTCGCAGTCAGCTGAAATGTTGGGAAATGTGCGCTCCAATGATCATGGTGGGAGATGCGTTCGTATGGTCTTGCGTCTGAGTTCAAACAGGTCGTGAGGTGATGTGTGCAGGTCCAGAGGCTTCAGAGACTTCAGCCGTGCAAGAACTGCAATCTCGAGATGCATGATTCGTGATGACTATTCACATTCTTGATTCACATTGTGTTTGATTATTATATAGGTGACGATGGGTTCTCCACTCTGCTGCGCTGCGTACATGAGGTGCAACCAACTCGCAGCTAGACCTTCTGCAGCTAGCTCAAGATCAAGCTGTGTGATATGCATGTCCCTGGTGGATGACTGGCCAATCGTAACTCTCTTGTACGTCACTCGCTCATGGCCAATGACCGCCATCACCATCACGACCCTCGAATCGGCTCCCTACCACTTCTTCTGAGCGTTTCACACTCAAATGAGGCGGCGATCAAACTTGCGGAAGTCTACCGAGCACAGATTAATCTAGCGCTCATGTGCTCGCAACACATTTCGCCTGATTTGGACCGGCTCTCGCTCTACGGTCCACAGGAACAAGCTCTGAGCGCGGATCAGAATGTTGGCGCGAGCCGGAGCGGCGGAGCGATCTCGGAATGGCATTTAGACTGCACTCGGTCACGCGACACGAGATCCAGGTCGAACGCTGCGCCCACACCCATCTCTCAACCTTCGTCCCGCATCCAAGCACAAGGCGGGAGCTTCTCAAGCCATATCGAGACATCATCGATTAGGGATGCGAGCGGGTCGAGGCATTGGAACAAGTCGCATCCCAGCCTTCTGGCGTGCTCCCTCTCTAGCAACGAACCTCTCTCCTCTCTCTCGTCGCCATCGGAGCCCGGAGCAAGCTTTGCAGCTAGCGGTCCTTCGGTTCTTACACAAAGCCTTTCATCTGGCATTGCTCGCCAGAGACCACCCTTGCAGGACCAATCGGCTTTGCGCTCACCTACAAAGGAAACTACCGAGGAAGGGAGCATGGCCGAGTCTGGTCTGGAGCCGAGATTGTTGCACACAATCTCTCATGATTCGACCTCGGTGCTGAGCTTGGCAGTGGATGAGCAGAGCGGACTGGTGTTTAGCGGCAGCCAGGCAGAGGACATATACGTGAGTGTGCGGCGAATGGAGATACGCAAGGTGATGGAGGCATTGATTGGCGAGCATATTTCCTTCCTCAGGTCTGGGATTTGAGTACTTTCCAAGAGAAGACGAGACTAGAGGGTCACACTGCATCGGTGCTTGCGCTCGAGTTGTGTCCGGAGAAATCTTGGCTCTTTTCGGCTTCGGGAGACAGCACTGTGCGGATCTGGGACACGAAGACGCTCTCTCCCCTTTGCGTCATACATCCTGCTGATGACCGGGTTGGAGATATTTTCGCGCGTGAGTGGGAGGCTCACGAAGAGTGGGCGGTGCAGCGCTCCCTACTTCTACTACTGACGATGCGTACCTTGTGGCTAGTGAAATGGTGCTCGGAGCTGCAGACCCTGTATTTTGGTTGCCAGAACACTAGCCTTCAGGTTAGTGAAGCGAGGCTATGCGAGCCGTGTCCACGAAGTCGTGACCCAGAGATCTGACCAGATCGACATTTTTTTCCCAAACGCAGTGGATTACCCTGACTTCGATCACTTCTGCAATCAGCCAAGACGAAGTGCGAGCAGTGCCCATAGTGCGACCGCACAAGTTCTTTGATTCCGGACCGCACGCGGGAAGTCAAACACGTCTGAGCACGAGCTTGAGCCGAAGTGCCAGCGGGAGGTCTACTCCTGCCGCAGGTTGGCCCAGAGGCAGTGCAAGGGGAGCAGGCTTTTCCACACCACCACTGGACTACTCGCCTGTGCTTCCTAGTGCAAGAACGCCAGGTGATCGTGCAGGCGTATCCTTGCCTTTTCAAGTCGGCGAGGCGGAAGATGGCTTCAACTTTGCTCCTGATTCGCCTGCGCAAACGCCTTTGCCTGGTCCGGAAGAGAGTGATAGAGTGAGGAGGTTGCAAGTGGAGCAGCGACATATGGTCTCTTCGGCGCACAGCGGATACATTTACGCCCTCGACTTGCTTCAGAAACCGGATCGGCACCTTGACGGAGGAGGTCAGCGAAGGGGAGGGTCTAAACACATGCTTGTCAGTGGTTCTGGAGATGAGGACATCAAGCTTTGGTCGTGCACGCCAGACGGTCTGACTCAAGAGGCAGTGCTACATCATAGTGACAATGGAGTCTTGGCATTGGCGTCGTGGGGTAGCTGCACGCTTTTTGCTGGCCTGCAAGGAGGCGACATTGAGGTGTGGGATGTCGAGACTGGGCGCGTTGTCCGGACATTGCACGCTCACGACGACGATGTGCTAGCTCTAGTTACAGTGGGCAGCATCGCAGACGAAGATACTTGCATCCTCTACTCGGCCAGCGCTGACGGTCGAATTCGAAGATGGGACGCTAGCTTCAAGTGCACCGCCGACTGGGTTGCCCACAACGGCATTGTGCTCTCGATCGCTTCCTTGCCGCAGGCTGTTGGTAATCAGGGGAACATAGTCTTGACGGGAGCTTCCGACGATCGAATCAAGGTCTGGGACTTGCTCTTTAGCCCTGGCACATTGGAAAAGCATTCCCGGCCAACGGCAGGGCCTTCTTCTCTTGGCACCGCAGATCCCATGATTAGCGCCCTCGCCCAATTCGTCGCCTTCAAATCGGTCTCTGCCAACGAGAATCTGCGGGAAGATTGTCGCCAGTGCGCGCACTGGCTGAAGAATCACCTCACGGATTTGGGAGCAGAGACGGCTTTGCTGCCGGGCGCTGAAGGCCACAATCCGCTCGTATTGGCAACGTTCAGGGCCAACAAATCCAGACTTGCTCCACGCAAGCGAGTTGTTGCCTATGCTCATTACGATGTCATTACTCCTGGACCGTGCGAAAGCTGGTCGAATAGTCCTTGGTCGCTGACGGGCAGAGACGGATATCTGCATGCCAGAGGAGTCAGCGACAACAAGGGTCCTTGCTTAGCTATCGCATACGCCGCTGCGGAATTGGCAAAAGAAGGTACGCTTGGCGCAGACGTTACTCTCGTCGTCGAGGGCGAGGAAGAAGCTGGAGGTTGTGGCTTTACGGAGGCGATCAGAGCTGCCAAAGAACAGATCGGCCCGGTGGTGAGTCTCAAGATCGACACGCGCCGATCATGTCAGTCATTGCTCAAAGATTCGTCTTGTTCTGTGCGCAGGACGTCATTCTTCTGTCGAATTCCTACTGGCTGGGGGAAGACACGCCTTGCCTCACCGTCGGCTTGCGCGGCGTCGTACAGGCCGATCTCGAAGTCAGGAGCGACTTTCAGGATCGTCATTCTGGAGTAGACGGCGGCGCAGTGCGGGAGCCGATGATCGACGTAAGTCTTCGAGTCTTTCGTCGGCCATCTTTTCATCACAGCTGAGCGTCGTGCTGCTCGAACTCCCGCACTCGGCAGATGATCAAACTCTTGGCAAGTTTGACAGAGGGCGAGCGTGTCTTGTTGCCCACTTTCTACGACTCTGTGCGGCCAATCACGCCAGCAGAACGGGCGATGTATGCGCAGATTGCGCAGATGAAGCATAGTCGAGCCAGCGGCCAGACAGTAGAGGCTTTGATGGCTCGATGGAGGCTCCCTAGCCTTTCCGTGCACCGCATCTCGGTCAGCTCTGGTTCTGGCAGTGGAAATGCTACCGTAATCCCCAGCACCGTGACCGCTGCTGTCAGTCTTCGACTGGTACCGGATCAGGATCTGGATGTGATCACGGACACTCTGATAGCGCATGTGAGCGCGCATTTCGGGAAGCTTGCCAGTCCCAATCGCATCGGCGTGAGTTGCGCCCTCTTCGAAATGTGCACAACGATCGTGAATTCAGTGTAGCCCCCTGCTGACAGGATTGCCCGTACCTTCATCGCCCCCCAAAATTTGTTGTCGCGATCAGGTTTACATCAAGCATCGCGCAGATTGGTGGCTAGGCGAAGACAGCGCCTACTCCACCGCTTTGGCCTCAGCCGTGCAGTCCGAATGGGGACAAGCGCCGGTGTCGATACGAGAAGGAGGATCCATTCCAAGTCTGGCCATACTGGAAAAAGAGCTAGAAGCTCCAGCGGTCCATCTACCCATGGGACAAGCCTCAGACAGAGCTCATCTGGCTGATGAGAGGCTACGACTTGTCAACTTGCTCAAGGGCAAATCGGTCGTCAAGCGCTGGCTCGCATCTTCAGCCATTTCCAACGCGTCTCAGAGATGAGGGCGAAGGACAGGTTGTTCCTAAGAGGGACAACGTGCCAAAATCACGACGCCTCGCTGTCTCTCGACGACTGGGTTGGCAAGCACGCTCTTGACCCCCGCTTTCGAGCCTCGAGTCTTTCAGAGCCCTTCGTCGGGCCAAAAGCGTTTGTTTACTTACCACCTTGTACTCTATCTGCATCACGCGCTAGTCGCAATTGCCCTTTCCCTACCATCACGCGATGCCTGACTCTCATCCATCTCTGCCCGATCCGCGCCCTAGGGCGCGCACAGCACCCTTGGGCATTCGCAGTGAACGGCGAATTAGCAGCCTGCTTGGTCACTCGAGTGAAGCAAGATGGTCGCACACGAGATACCTTCACCACAACTTCGAAATTCCCGCTTCTCATCTGAGCCACACTTTTTATCAGCACTTCATCGCCGCGGCACGGGCAGGGCCAGCCAGCCTGCCCCGCACAAATTCGAGACAGCACAAGAGACCGAAGAAATGCGCCCCATCACTCAGACTTCGGAACTTTTATCAACAAGCGCAAGATGGATGATGGTAGGTAGTATTGCGCCTAGTCTCTCATTCCAAAGTAAAAGCGAAGAGCTTTCGTGGGAGACGATTCGGATGTAAATCAGCACGACAGCTCGACGATCAAGAGAGCAAGAGAGAAGGACGAGTGCGGGAAAGAGTCGTCTGTGTGCGTGGGCAAAGGGGAGTGGGGAGACCACCGAGCACAAAGCGCCGTTCGAGAATTGGCCCAGACGACTTTGTTTGTGGATGATTCGACGAGGATGACGAGGGACCGAGACTGCGCTGTATGGAGCGTCGGAAAGGATGGGCTTCTTGCTCAAAGACGAGCGGTTTCAGTCTCCTTATGCGACGGAACGTTGTATATTTGTGAGAAAAAGGATACGATCGAATGAGGGTGTGCACGTACACAAGGACATCGAGAGACGAGGACAGAGCCAGGAAAAGGAACAGCGGGAGACGAGAGAGCTAGGAGCGTCACTCGCGATAGTGTACTTCGGCCGCACTTTATCATCCACGGGCAATGAGCGCATGAACGTCTTAGGCGACCGAGACGACACGCTGACTGAAGCTGGCGGCGCGAGGGCTAGCGCAGAGACGGCTCATGGCTTCCTTGCGGGTGCGCGCCGAAATCCTCGAGGCGAAGTTGACTGGCTGGAAGTCGGTTGGAGGTCCGCGTGGCTGACGAGCTGGCTGGGTAGGAGCAGCCAGACCGCCATTGCTGCCGCTACCTGAGTTGCTCATAGCGACGCTCTTGGCCTCAGCAGTGAAGTTGCGAGAGCGAGGAGCGGCGGTCAACGAGATGGCACGGGGAACGCTTGGAACCGACTTGCTCTGCTTGTCCACGACCGCACCGTAACGAGCAGTCATGGCAGCAGCAGCAGCTTGAACCTTGTCGAGCGTGGCACCGTCGCGAACATCCTCGTCACTCGTGTCTGGCGTGTGGACATCGGACGCAGAGCCATTCGCGCTGATTTCGCTCGCGGAATCGTCGACGACGATTGAAGGGTTAGAGGCATTGCTGGCACCGGTAGCGCGCTGACGCCACGATGAGGCAGCGTCGGCGTGGCTTGGCTGACGCGGACGAGCGCCGTTCTTGTCGGATGGCGATCCCGCACGGTTGAGCTGTTGGGCAGCGCGCATGGGAGGCGAAGCCGTCTGTCCGAGACCAAGAGCAGCCTGCTGTTGCTGCTGAGCAGCATAGTGCATCTGGATGTACTGGAGACGCTGCATGAGCTCAGCTTCAGCTTGAGCTTGGTCCTGGTCCTGCTGCTGGTTGCGCTGCTGCTGCTCGAGCAGTTGAGTGTAGGCTTGCTGAGTCTGACGGTTGCGCAGGTTGGCCTGGATCGTGGCTTGAGCGGCCTGACGCTGCTCGGCAGCGCTCGACTGCAGCTGCTGAGCCTGAACTTGCTCCGCGAGAGCGGCCAGCTGAGCCTGACGTTCGTACTCGGCGTGGATCTGAGCGAGAAGCAAGCGCTGCTGCTGCTGTGGGCTGTTGGCAGCCTGAGAGCGGAGCTGCTCGAGCTGTAGCGAGCGCGTGTGTCAAGTCAGCGAAAGCCTGTCAAGTGCTGTCAGAGAGAGAGAGACTTACCTGAGCGATAGCTGCCTGTTGTTGACGACGAATCTCCTCCTGTTGCTGGTGTTGACGAACGAGAGCCTCGTACGCCTGCTGCTGAGCGTTGTAGTGTTGCTGTGGCTGTCCCTGGGCCGCACCGTAAAGTGCAGCGAGGCTGTTCTGGTTCTGCAGAGCCATGGCTTGCTGCACGCGAAGTGCAGCGAAGTGAGCCTCCAAAAGCTGTTGCTGACCTTCAGCACCATTGTTCTGAGGTGGGGTTTGCTCGCGCTGGGGCGAGTTCACGCGCTGGCCAGGGGTAAAGACCGCAGCGTTAGCCTTGAGCGTGTTCGGCGAGCCGGCTTTGGAACCATCTTGAGTTGAGACGGGCGACGTGCTCTGCTGAGCCTGGAACATGCCATCCTCAACGGCAGAAGGCGAGCTCGATCGGGGGCCTCCAGTGCGAAGACCGGCGAGGAGCTGAGCGCGAGACATCCTGGTTTGTAAGTCGGCTGGGTTTCAGGAAGGTGGGGATGATGGAGTGGGGCTAGTCGAACGATTGGTTCGAACAAGGAGCGCAAGTAGCTTGACAGCAGATGCACGTGGTGATTTGAAGGCGAGCAGACTCCACTGAGTCAATCGGCGAAGCTTGCTAAAGGAACTCGATGTGAGTTCCCGTTGGTATTGGAGAGTTGCTGTTGATTGCTTGTGCTCGTTGAGCGTTGTCCTTTCAAAGGCGAAAGCTGATTGAGCGGATGCTTGAGGATGCGCTGTATGCTCAAGCGAATTGTTGGTTGTGTTCGAGTGCAAAAAGAAGAGGAGATCAAAGAGGTTGCGGTGCGATTGATGTTTGGTGTTGGTTTGTTGGCTTTTGGCGGATGAATTCGGTCTGCTTGAGAAAATTAATGGGGCTTTCGACACGAAAAGGGAGGCTCGCTGTGGGGTGGACAGTGTCGAGTGCTGGCTTTGCGTGGATCAGTGCAAGGTTCGATTGATGTCAAGCTGAGCGCACAGCGCTGGCGATGGACGTCGATCGAGGTGTTTGGTTGAAGTCTGAAGTTGAGATCCCAGCCTATCTGAGCGCGGAGCTCTCCAAGCTTTGCGTGGTGAGCTGTTGCGGGTCACCTGTTGCGCGCGCGAGACGAGCCGCGGCTGGTGAGCGAGATTGACTGCGATGGAGGAGACGGAGGATCGAAGGCGAGGCGGACAGGTTGACGGTAGACTTTGGGAGACACGAGCCTGAGGATGAGACAGGATCGGATGACGACCGAATCTAGCCCCAGTCTGTTCGTTTATGAAGGGTGGAGAAAGAGGCAGGCAGACAGACCGTCGCTTTGAGCACAACGGGAAGGTCGGGGTGAGCGAAGAGAGAGAGAGAGAGACAGAGAGACAGAGACGAAGACAGAAAGACGAAAAGGCAGACGGGAATCAGTGAGACGGTGGTGAGAGACGATGGGCGGTGAATAGGTTCATTGATTGCCTTTTACCACGGCGTTGCGCGGCGCGCCCGCAAAAGCAGCTCTTGTGCGGCAGCCAGGCGAGAGCCGTGTGATCGCGGCGGCGCGGATACCCGCCAGCGAAGGCCAGGGCACTTGGTGGCGGGCTGCTGCGTGCGCATGGCTGCGCGTTGCGCCCAACCGTGTGCTTCGCTCCATCCCGTGCCAGATGCGCTGTCCTAGCTGTGGGCGCGCTTGCATGGGGTGGCGGCACGTCTGCTACGCAGTCACGAGTCAAATCCATGCATGCATCCATGCATGCATCCACTCTTTGACTGGTCCGTCGCTGGAGAAGGACTTCTTCAGGCTTGCACATCGCGCGTGTTGACTGACACGCTGCGTCCCGAAGCGGCGCTGGATCACCCATCACATGCCATGCAGCAGCAGCAGCTAGAGAACCCGCGACGCAAGGGTGAATATGCGCGTGCATGCGCGCTTCTGGACAGTCAAAGTGCTATCGTGACTCTGCGAATGGAGCCTGGAGAGCTTGGATGAAATCTACATGCATGAACGGTCGACGCGTGTATATGCGCCATTGATTGATGACTGCTCCCGCGGCACGCTTGAAGTCCTCGCCTCGTTCCAGATCACGCACATTTCCTGCACTCGACTTGGGGGGGTCCGCCGCCCGTCTCTCATAAGGTTCCCCTGCGCGCTGTGCTCCTGCTGCGCCTTTCGAGTCGTCGTCGCCTTTGCCCCTGAGCCGCTGGAACAGTCTCACGTCAAACCGGGAGCACGATGCATGACAACACGCGGCGCCTCATTTGCCGCACATCGGCGCAGTGCGCTCCAAGACAACATCAGCTGCTCATCTGTCTGGATCATCGAGCTTGACTCAAGACTACCAATTCTTAATCTTGGAATTGAAATTTGATTGACTTTGACAGGGGGCTTCCAGATATCAGGATTAGCCCATGCAGATAAATGAAGCCAAAATACCTCACTTGGATTATCACTTTGACTCATCAGACTTGAGCATGTTGCTGCGCCGCTGTCGCATCAAAATTGAAACCCAACTTCCGCGACATTATGCATGTGCTGTGAGCTCGACGCTCGCTAGTTTTCGTGCTGAAGCTTGCGGGTAATAAGTCTTGAGTGACTCTTCTAATTTTGATTCAATATTCGAGAGTCAGCATTCATTCAGTGATTCTCATTGCCTCATCGAGGCTTGAGGGATTCAAGAACATCGCAGATTCTTGATTCTTGATTTAGAAGTATGCTCTGCACGCGTGCTTGCGCATTCAACGTGGATAGTCGAGGCAGCGCATCAACATGTGATTCAAGATCGCTAGCCGGGCTTGCTCGGTGTACATCGAGCCGATCTCACTCTTGACTCAGACTGAAGCTTGATGAAGCTTATTTGTGTGTCGTTTGTAAATTCGAGATTCAAATTCAAGATTGCTATGCCAAGTGAGACCTATGGGTGGCAGTCATGCAGCTTTGAAGTCTCGACTAAGTCGTTGCGCTTATGCCTTGCGTCTGCTTTTGTACTTTGTGGGGATGAACGCTGGTCATTCACAACTGTGGATTGTGATTGCTTGGCTGAACATTCCGCAAAACAACTCATCCTTCACAGATGAAGCTTGTCATAGCGAGCAATTTTGTTTCTGTAAGCGTACAAGCATCTAGCGACAGACCCAGCTGAACGCTGCTCGACAGAGCTATGCATGGAAGCTTCGCGATTGGCAGTGTTGTCTCGAAGTGTATGCCTCGGGAGTTTCAGTCATCGACCACAATCTGCTGGGACTACTATTCTCAGCCAAGTCTCGAATGCATGCGGTCCGCCCAGGGCGCTTCCGAGAACGAACATTTCGCTCGTTGTGACCTCATCTGATGCGACCACAAAGATGCGAACCATTCTGGATTAGGTCGCCAGCTGTGAGCGCGACCGAAGGACTTGGCAAAATCCAAAAAAGAAACACAAAAAAGTTACGAGTGCAGCATGCACGGGTCCTCCATGTCGGCCTTCATCTGGAGGGTGCGATTGAACCCGTGGGCGCGCTTTAGCGGAAGCAACTGCAGCTATGAGCCGCAGTGAAGGCCTGCAAGGAGGTTCTAACAAAGTCAGACCACCTGCTAAAGTGCGGGTGCAGCGGAGGACCAAGGCGTTCTGTTGAGAGTCGCTAGTGTGAGCCTCGCATACAGAACCGCAAGCACGAGTTTGTGTGCGCGAATTCGTGGTCGCAAGATGTCTGGCGAGAACTGGTCAACTCCGTCCAAATTTGGACACGCAATCAAAATCAAAAGAGTCAAGATGAAGATGATCGAGCCTTGAAGCCTTGAAGATCAAGGACTTTGCATGTTCATGAGGCTCGATGGACCGCTATATCGACCTGCCCGCTGCTGCCCGTACAAGACCACCGCATCCAAGCCTCTTTCTTTCCCGATGATGCGGTCACAACTTTCTGACTCAAAACTATCAATTGTATCACGTGACCGTCACACGCCGCGGCTGATTGGGTGTACGCCGAAAAGCACGCATGCTGCATGCAAGCTTTGACTCCACAACACCGTGCAGCACCGCTTTATCATGCAGCCATCAAAAGCTGGGCTCATGACTTTCTAGAAAGACTTTGACCTCGGCAAGTGGTGCTCGTGTATTCATTCTTGGTTTGTTCGATCAGGTCCTCGAAAGACAGGTCGCTCTGCCCTCATTCGAGCCTGATCTTTCTCGGCCGCCAACAGCGGCTGCTAGATCTGTTCCGCTCGGCTCAAGCCCACGACGGCCCCACTACCACCCTTGCTCGCCGCCACTCCTGCGAAAGCAGGGCGAAAGCGCCTACCACTCTCAACATGGCACCAAAGAAGACCAATTATCCGCGACCCGCACGCTCGATGGATCATGCAGCAGGTTCCTTGACACTCAAGAGACACACGAGCTGCTCGTCATGCAGCTGTCCCGGCCAACATCCTGCGTCAAACTCCAGCGTTGTACTCCACGACGGGCACAGCGCAGGGTCGAATTGGCAATGGGAGTGCGAGTGTGAACACGAAGGCGTAGAAGGCCACGAGCGGGATGAGGATCAGGAGGAGCGCCAGCGAAGGCTTAGAGTGGCAAAGCGCATAGACGAGCTTTTGCAGGTAAGTACCGGCACTCCATGTTACCTCGAAGCCTTCTCTTGACCTTGGCGACTTTTCACGCTCACTTAGGACGAAGGCAAGCTGCAAGACTTCGGCTTTGTCAACGAGGACGTCAAAAGCTTGCGAAAGTGAGTCCGCGGCCGGCACAACGCAGAATCGCAGGTTCGATGCTTACGTAACATTTCCCACTGCCCTCAGACAAATGCTACCTGCATCAGGCAGACACCCTGAGCGGAGCGTCGAGTCTCCTCGCCCTTCGCACCTTGGTGAGCGAAAAAGGGGCAGGGACGTTAGTGCCTCGCAGAGCCCTGCTCCTGGAAGCAGCCGCAGCAGCGCAGCAGGACGCGAGTGTAAGTCTTAAAAGTCGCCTTTCAGTCCGCATATTCTTATGCCCTTTGTCTCTGTCGCTCCCTTCGCAGCCCACCTACAAAAGAAGCGAAAGACGCTGATTGATCGGGGCCAAGGTGTGGATAGCGCGATATCTTCTCGTGCTTCTTCTCTCGGTCCTCTCACGCCTTCAGCGGATGACGAAGGCTCAGCCACAGGGCCTCGAATAGCAGGCACGGGTGAAATCGGCTCATCTGACGAAGCCTCGACAGCGCCGGAGGCCATCGTCGCGGAAGGTGAAGGTCATGGAAAGCGCCCAGCTCGCAGCCAGAAAGGGCTACCGGAGGCCACTGAAGGAGCCGCAAATCCGATCAGCATCGAAGTGACAGAGCAACCCAAACCAAGTCGCGATGAGATCGATCGGGGCGCCGACTTGGACGCAGCGGTCAAAGGCTCTAGCATCGACGCTGGCTGGCTTGATGAGGTGTGTCAGATTAAGCTTTCGATCCCGTAATCGATGCGGCCGACAAGCTGACGGAAAGTGACCGCAATCTCAGCCCGAGGCGCCGCGTAAAGAGAGACCGGCGGTGATCGAAGAGCGCGCTGGGCTCATCCAATTCAGAGTGGTGGAGAATGACGGGCGCCCTGAGAGCATGATCATTCTTACTGGGCTCAAGAACATCTTTCAGCGACAACTGCCGAAGATGCCTCGCGAGTACATCACCCGCTTAGTTCTCGACCGGAACCACCGAAGCATGGCCATCGTCAAGAGAGGCTTGCAGGTGGTCGGTGGGATTACATATAGGCCTTTTGAGCAGAAGCGCTTTGCCGAAATCGTCTTTTGTGCCATCTCTAGCACTGAACAAGTGAAGGTGCGTTCGCTGCAAAGCCCAGACCCATGAAGCATCGCTGATATGTCTCTCTGCGCTGGTCAAAAGGGATACGGCAACCACTTGATGAATCACGTCAAGGACTATGTCAAGGACTCGAGCGAAGTGATGCACTTCCTCACGTATGCCGATAACTACGCCATCGGGTACTTCAAGAAGCAGGTGAGTCCCTTGAATGAAATCGCTGCAGCAGGCGCTGTCTGACACCCAACGAACCTCACAGGGCTTCACCAAAGAGATCACTTTGCCAAGATCTCAGTGGGTCGGCTACATCAAAGATTACGAAGGCGGCACATTGATGCAGTGCAGCATGGTACCTCGAGTGCGCTATCTTGGCGTCACGGATCTGCTGGCTCAGCAGCGACGAATGATCCTTCAAAAGATCCGTCAGATCAGCAGAAGCCATATCGTGCACAAAGGCCTGGACGTCTTTCGAAAGAAACACGACGAAGATCTCTCCAAGCGCGAGGCCGAAGAGTCTAGCGAGGATGAAGATGTGCCACTGGCGAACAGCAATCATGCGTCGACCTCATCACCGAGCGCGTCGAGCAAGAGGAAGAAATTTGCGGTGGACCCCGCTGAAGTGCCTGGCCTCAAGGAGAGCGCCTGGACACCCGAAATGGACGAAATATCTCGACGACCCAAACGCGGACCTCATCACGCCCTCATGCGCCACGTGTTGGTCGAGCTGAACAATCACCATGCGGCTTGGCCTTTCACTGCACCGGTAGATGCAGCTAGTGTGAGTGTCCTGCCTCGGAATTCGAACGACGTCGGAGCGCTCTGACGACCGGCTTTCTCGCAGGTTCACGACTATTATTCAGTCATCAAGCAGCCGATGGGTGAGCATACCGCGTTGACAGCGAGCGGTGAGTGCTATGCTGAAGATCTTGCATTTCACATCTTCAGATCTGAGCACGATGGAGACGAAGCTGGAGAACAATGCGTACGCGACGGTGGAGGATTTGACAGCAGATTTCAGGCTTGGTACGTGTACTCTGCCGTAGGATCCTGCGGTGGCTGTGGTGCAGGCGAGAATGCTCACGAGACCTCTCCCCCCTTGCCCATCTCTCAGTTGCTGCCAATTGCCGTCAATACAATGGCCCAAGCAATTCATATACCAAGCTGGTCAACACCCTCGAGAAACACTTTGATCGAGAAATAGGAGGTGTAAGTAGTGCCTGTACGACCACTAACCCATCTCCGATGACTCCTTGACTGACTCGAATGCGACAAACGTCTTCTTTTGGCATGCTTTGCAGTGGAAACAAAGCTACGGTGTCTTGTGATTTGCTTCTACGAAACATCTCGGTCCCGTCCGCGATACACGATTCAAGTTTCAGTTGTTGTACAAAGTAACGCTTCGACCAATACGATTGCGTACTTAGAATCACAAATCACAACAAAATCATGCGGTTGCTCCTCCGACCTTGCCTCGCCCGGACGGAAAGCTTGGCTCTGACACGTGACTCTTGAGTGGGGAACTCACGCTTGCAGCTGTGGTTGAGAAATTGTCGGAGGTGACAGCGCGTCTTCACGACTGGAATCATCCTCTCTCACTCAAGTCCATCCAAGCACCTTGTGGTCGACCCTGATATCCGCCGTGTAAGTCTCCGATGCTTACCTTTGATGATCAAGAGTCACTCTTCACGATGCAGACCTCATTGCTCCAAGCACATTAGCTAATCAACCTCGCCAAAAATTTCATGTAACGGTTCTTTTTGCGCTAGTCGAGCCTTGGGAAGCTTCGTTGTGAAGCACAGGTGCAAATGAAGATCCCTTCTTTATGAAAAGGTTGCGCCTCTACAGATAGGTGCCGCGGCCGTTGCACATCCGCTCATTTTGCCAAACTTCGCCAAGCACGGGGCGCTTTAGACCCCGCAGACAGCTGAGCAGATGTTCGTGGCTCAAGGGCAGCTTCCCAACACGAGCATCCTCGTTGCGCAAGTCTCTTGGCAAGAGAAGCTCCATGCGTAGTCCTCGGATCCATCAACTCAGAGGCGTTCTATTCTGTGCTTCGCATGTACCTGCGTAGGTTGCCGAGCCAGCCGATCGGAGCAGATCCATCTCGCAGCGCTCGACCAAATAGCGCGATGCAGTCGTGAGTCATCGTGATTGTCTGTTTATGTTTAGATCAGGCGTGTGCAGCGACGCTCAGCGAGCAGTTCTGACGCAGGGTTACGCTGGCGGAAGGGCCGTCTTGCCACGCAGGGAGAGGGCGGCCCGTGCATTCCCTTCAGAAGCCCGGTTCCCTTGCAACGACTTGTAGGCTTGATATGAGAGTCACGAGTGCACCACACGCAAAATGTACACACGCCTCGTCCGCAGCGCTCAGATATGAGGTCATTACCGCACGGCGGTCGAGCCTCTCCGCTCAATCGGGCGCCTCGATCGCGATGGGGGCCTGCGGCATCGGAGGGCTTCTGGTCTTTGGCCACGCACGCCGCACGCGCCTCCAACGTCTCGGCGAACTGTCCAGAGGTCTACGCCCAGACGCTGGCGAAATGTCTGGACGATGTCTCAGCGTACTGATGAAATGACGAGACTACATTGGGATAAGCTTCATTCCAGGCCCGATCGAGGGGACATGGAAGAAGCAAAGAACCGTGAGCCAGCTCGCAGCGCGATCAGATCTCTTCTGCACCCCGAGTACATCTATGTTCGGTCGTTGCCGTCAGGCTCGGGCTGGAGTCTCGCCAAGCAACATCCATCGACTGCACCTCGTCTGAAGAAGGGCGCGTGTGCAGCCGCTTCACAGTCCAAAATGAGGTCTTCGTCGCATCAAGTCGCCGTGTAAGAGACGTTCATAAGATTCCAGCACCTACCCCTAATCGCCTTGGTCGAACCGCTGATGGCATCACCTTTGGGCTCCTTGGGTCTCTATACGGGTCTGCACGCTGCCAATTACGTGCCAAAAGCTGAGACCATAAGACTGCTGGACGGTTTTACCGTATAGATAGCGCCTTCTTTCCGGCTAGGGTGAAGTTTCGTCCTCTCGACAACGTATTCTCCAGCAATTACTTTCCAGTCGCTCGATGGCATTCTCGCATTTTCATCATCGACAATGGTAGGCACGCAAAACGCAAGTCAGGTGGCAGGCTGGCCAAGTCCTCAACACCTGCCATCCAGACCGCCTCAGGATGAGCTCGAATTACCGATACCTCCTACAAATCTAATGTTTGCTTTGCGCAATGGGAGACCGAGAGGCACTACACTCAAGGAATGGGCATTCCCCCAGCGCTACGTTCGACGTGGAGATGCTTTTGACGCGACCACTGCAGTCATAGGAACGGGTGGGTGAGTGCCAACTATCACGTTCGAATGGCTGCGCTCAATCGCAGCGACGACTTACACGCCCGGTTTGGTGCGCTTTTCAGCTTTGGAACTGCTTATCGATATGAGGTGAGTACTGAGGCCAGAGACTCGAGATTGTCTGCAGAATTTAACGCTGATGCTGTGTCGCCGTCTGCTCAGCGCGTTCCCGAGCCCGAGCAGAGCGCTGTGTCAGCTTCGCCGGACTCGAGCTTCTCTGCGCTGAGCGCATTTGGCGCCTCGTCGAGCCATACCACCAACACGTCCCTCTCATCCCCGGGACCCAGCCCAAAGAAAGCAGCGTTGGCGCCTTCAGTCGCGGCATCACCGCATCGCGACAGCATTCCGATGGAGCGCGAACACGTCGAAGCCCTTGATCAGCAAGAATGCGAGCAATTCGACAAACAAATGCGTACGAAGCTGAGTAATAGACACCTGGCCCAAACCAGCGTGCCCCAACACCAGCTCGCGGCGCATACGTCAGGCGTCACTTCTGAGAACAATGCGAATGCACCAGCTTTCATGCCGGACAGCCCGCAGCAACTGACGCCCAACAAACCACCTGCCGTGATTGTAGTCAAAGTCTGTCGGACACCGACCACCGGCAGCTTCGATGAGCTGCCGCGATGTGGAGTTCCGCGCGCCGAAGTCAAAAGAGCCGAAGCTCTTCTTAATGCACAGCGCAACGGCGAGCTGACACCCGATCTCTCGAAGATAATGCACACTCGCATCGTGCGGGGCGAGCTTCTGCTCCTCAAATTTCTTCAAGGAGCTGCGACGGCCGAAGGTTTCAGTCATCGCCGCACCCACACGGTCAGACTGATCGCAGACATGTCCATGCATACCGCATGTTCGGCGGTGACTGCGCTGGACCCGCTCAGCGCTCAAGCCAGCACTGCTGCCACGTACGAGCGCGTCGAGGGTGGCCCGCCCTTGCCTCGCCTATTGGTCTTTGAACGACTCGTCGACCTAGATGCCCAACTCACTCCGCGCGGGTGGGTCAAATCGCGTACACCATGGACAGTTGCGCAAGTAGAAGCAGCCGCCCGCGACGTCGCGAAGGGTCTTCGCTTCCTTCACTCTCACTGTGTGGCACATGGCGACCTCAAACCGTCCAATCTGATGCGATGCGCAAAGACGGGTGTGGTCAAGCTCATCGATCTTGGCGCCTCGAGACGATGGGTGCGCCTTCCTGTGGACAAGATGAGCAGCACCGACGTAGTCGAGGCATTGGACGAGGCCATCATCAGCGGCCGATTGAGCAGAGATGACTATACTCGCGATGTCATCTGTGAAGGACTTGGGTCATTTACAGGCTCGCCGCACTTTATGGCCCCGGAAATCTTGCTGCAAGCGAGTCGGTACCTCAGCACGGACGGATACGCAAGGTCGGTGCTCGACGACCATGTCAGAAATCCAGCCGCTCTTCCTGCTCATATTCCGCTCGAATTGCTCGAGCTGTGCTATGACGACTTCAAACGCGGATGGGGAGTGGCAGCTGATATCTGGAGTTGGGGCTGCACGGTCCAGCTCTTGATGATGCGCACACAACACTCGCTAGAGAGACCCAGATCTTCAGCGGTCTGTCCATTCTCATTCTCCTTTGAGCATCATCTCGAGGACGCCATCGCACCGCTGTATCCTCAAGATGAGTCGGAGAATGATTTGCCGCGATTCCGACTTTGGGCGCGCTGCTTCTCTCTTCAAATCACGCAGACATTGATCTCTGGGGTAGAGCTCATCGACTGCTGTACCTATCTGTCGCCACAGGTGCTGCACGGCCTGAAGCAAGCGATGCAGGGCAGAGATGCTCGCCCAAATGCGACGCAGCTCTGTGAAATCCTGAGGCAGCCGGTGCAAGGCCTGGGTCTCGATCTATCCGGCCTGACAGAGCCAGACCATCAGGACAACATTGTACTGCAACCGTCGCTGCCCGCGACCCCACAGACACATTTCAGCAATCTTTCTCGTGCTGACTCCATCCACAATATGGATGGCACCTCGAGCACGGGGATGAGCTTGCCTTCCCACATGCACCGAAGCGTGAGCAGCGCCAGACAAGCTCGAGAAATGGTCCATTTCAGTGGTGCGCAAGACGATTACGAAGCTGACCGCGATGCGCTTGTTGTGCGATTGGAGAAGCTGTCACAGCGCCAGATCGACGCGCCATCCTTGCCCGGACAATCTCAGCTGGCAACAAGAAGTCTGCGGCAACCACTTACTCTGTCTACGGCGCCGACTCCTACAGACAGCACGAACCTGTCGCCATCGAATGCCAAATCCCCAATGCTTCCAGACGTGGACATGGATGCAGACCTGCTGGGTCTCCATCTCATGGCTGCGGAGGCGATGGACATTGATGTCGACGACGTGGGCGGTGAGCCAGAGCAGCGTCTGCTTTCAGCTCCATCGTTCACCAGGCACGCCAAACCTCAAAGCAAGAGCAACGCTACATCGATTGAAGATGACGCTGCAAGTGCACCCTCTCTGCTCAACTTCGAGGAGCGAGGCAGAGGCGAATACCGGGGCACACCGCCCACACCGACGCCTGCGCCGTCAGAGTCTCAGAATCAGCAGCTGAATCAGAAGCGCTCTCTTGGTACCCTTCTACGCCGGGGGAGCGGCCTGCACAAGGTTCGCTCTTCCTTCGGCGGCTTGCGAGCGGGCTCCCGTGCGCTTGAGCGGCCCAGGGAAGGAACGGAGTCTCGCTCAGACATACACTGGCGCTTCATGCTCAACGATGCGGATGCTGCTCCACTTGACGAAGAACAAGAAGCTCCCAAGGCTCAGCATCCCAGCACTCCAGAGCCAATTTCAGGCCTTTCCGAAATCCAGACGCCTTACGCGCATTCCAGAGGTCGTTCCGGCACTCTGCTCGCGCGTCGACTGAGCATTGCGAAGTCTCTCATTCAGGGCAATTCCCCGAGCGACACCGCCGGTGCTCACGCAAAGGAACAGGCCATACCTGAATTCGAGGGCGAACATGAGACTGGCGCGTCGACGAGTCGCAGCAAGCAAGCTACACCTGCCTGGCGTCGCCGATTGACCATCAGCAGCAAGTCCGCGCGAGCTTGAAAGAGGCATGATGCCGCTTGACAGTTAGTTCGTCGCGCTTGTGGGCGAATTGCCTCTGGATCCAGCCTTCTGATCGAACTTGATCGCCCTTGCAGTGGACTTGACGTGGTCATTCTGGCATCCACTCTCCATCTCAGATCGAAGCCCCATACTTTTAGGTGCCACACATACTAATTCGCGTTCTTGTGCCTGACCAAATCAATTCTCGCGCCTGGAACGTTCCCCATTCTGCTTTGTACCCATACTGTTACCTGCCAATCGTGTATCTGTGCGATCGCTTATTTCCCACCCATTTGCAGCTAGCCGTCGTCTTGCTTCTTACCGGCTCACGCACTACAAGCTGTCAAGGACGCCGTTGCGAAGCACGACGCTGGAAGATGATTGAGGAGGTGCCTTTTGCGGAGCTGATTCGTGCAGACCCAGAAGCTTTCAAGCATCCGAATGCGATGTCCGGCCTGGACGAGCGAGCACATTCCTCTGCACAATCGTCAAGTCTGACCGGAGCTGCTGCGGATGGAGTCACGAGCCCCGACAATCGTATTCATCATTCAAGATTAGCCGCGCTGGTCCATCTCCTCCCATGGAATTCGACAATCAGTGAATGTGTAGCAGCCGCGTTGGCTGCTGACGTTGGCTTCTGCCGGAGCATTTCCCGTGCCTGATGTTGCTGCTGTGCTGTGCCGGTACAGTCGTGAGTATACCGGCATCATTGCCATGCGCAGCCACAGATAGGTAGCCCTTCTGATTCACCGACGCGTAGTGCAAGATGTGCGGACGCGCCATGCAGCGGCGGCACGGGAGAAATCGAGGCATCTGAGTGCATCGATCGCTACGCAGAAACTGCAGTCACAGTCGATGAGAGGCGCGGCCGGCCGGCCTGCATCAGCAGCTGCATGGCCTTCGATCGAACTTCTTAAACAAAAAAGCCGTCGCGTATGCGTGCCGTCGCGTGTCTGCAGCAGCTCGCTCGCGCTACACGACGAAATTGAACTCTCGGACTCACGACTGTTGTACATGTGATTGTGATTGCGGATGAATCACGAATCACAACGACGATTTTGAATCGTTCAGTCATGAGTCACCGGTCACGAGTGTCCGTACATCCACCTTCAGCTGCACCTGCTCCGCGTTCTCTGTCAACTGCATTCATCATCGCATCGCAACAACGATCAGGCTAGTCTGCGCTAGAAGTCTGCTACGTGAACCTCTCCTTGCTCGAGTGTACAAAACATTCTCATCATGTCTGCACCGACCACATTCAGCTGGAAGTCGGGACCTGAGGCAGTCCAAGTAGCCGGTAGCTGGGACTCTTTCGCCAGCAAAAAGGACTTGAAGAAGCAGGCGGATGGATCATTTGAGACTTCCGTGAGTAGTAGCAGCTCGAGTGCGATCTACCAAGCTGCACGCAGCGTTCGGAGGCACAATCGCTCATCATCCGCTCCTGCTCGCTCGACTGCCGTTAGCTGGACCTGCCAGCCACAACCAAGTTCACCTACAAGTACATCGTAGATGGATCCTGGCAAATCTCACCGCTCGAGCCCACTGAGGATGATGGGCAAGGCAATGTCAACAACTTCTTGACTACCACCAAAGCCCAGCTGCAACCACAATCCCCAGCTCCCTTTGACAATTCTGTGCCAAACACGCCTCTACCCAAGAGCGATCCTGCTGATCCCAAGGCGCCACAGGCTGGAGCAGCTGACCTTACCAAGCAAAGCTCGCTAGGTGGAGTGGCTGCTGCTGCAGCCGGCGGCATCGCTGGAGCAAGTGCTGGAGCGGCTGGTATCGCTGCCGCGTTCGTCGGGGCTGCAACGGGAGAAAGGTCGGACAAGGCGACGGATGAGCAACAGAAGACCGCTGATCAGGCCGTCAAGCAAGCCGCGTCAGGTGCTGCTGCCGTCAAAGAGCAGGCTACGAGCGCTGCCGAATCCACTCCTCAGGGAGCTCAGGGTAAGTTTGTCCTTCTTGGTATGCGTCGCCAACGTGCTGGATGGAAGGCGGGTGCAGGGCTAGAAGCTTCGCGCTGCGTAATTCAACGCAGACCTGACATCCTGTCCTTACATCACGCACCGCTTTTCCCCTCGTTTTTGCTCACCCTGGCTTAGCTGCGGCGGTTTCAATCCCTCCTTTCTTGACAGGCGTTTTGGCTGCTGCGTCTGCTTCGGTCGCTGATGCTCTCGGCACCGTCGTCGGCCAAGATGTGTTGCGCGGCAACCCGCAATCCGTTCCCACCACGCCAGCTCCCGAAACCGCACCCAAAGGACTCGAGTACGCAGGAGCAGGTGCACCGGCACCTGTCAGCGCGTTGGACAAGACGCCCACTGCGGACGAGCTCTCCAAATTGGCCCAGAGCGAAGGCAAGAACCCGGCTGATGCTGGTGCGGCGGCTATCGCTTCTCAGGTCTTCAATGCGACGGACGCTGTACCTGCAGGAGCTAGCACTACAAATGCACAGCCCGCACACGCGCCTTTGGGTACTACTACAGGTGTGAGCAGGACCGATCGCGAGCCTGCACTTGCAACCGGCAACACCGGGCTTGCTGCGGCTGGGGGGGCAGGAGCAGGAGCAGCAGGAACGGCCACATCGAGCAAGGGTACTAGTGGATTGGCAGCGGCTGAAAAGAAGGATCTCAATGGGACAACGAGCAAGGCGGAACCTGTGGCACCGCACGCTGGAAGCTCTGGTTTGGCAGCAGCGCAGCCCGTCAACGGGGCGCCCGCTACACCAAAGAAGGCCAGCAGCGCAGCGGCAGCGGATGCTGCGGCCACAGGTACCCCAGCATCAGCCAAGAAGGGCTCTCGATTCAGCACAATTGGAAGGCGCAAGAGCGCCGTGCCTTCAGAAGGTGCTGCGAATGGGGCTGGAGCTGCAAGTTCGGAACCCGTTCCACCCTTGCCTGCGAGCACATCGACCGGTAGCAACCTGAACGGTTCCACCGCTGGCTCGAACCCTGCTACCCCCGACAGGAAGCGCAAGCAGAGCATTTTTGGAAAGCTCAAGAGCGCACTTAGCAGCCCTTCGGGCAAATCGAATCACGCCCAATCCGGATCCACCTCTTGAGCATCTCGCCCGAGCTCCCGACCATCCCTTGGGCAAAAGCTCCAAAGTTGCAAAGTCTGCACCCATCAATACCTGCTCGACTACTGTCTCGTTGACTTGCTCTGTTTCTTTCCCTCGACCGCTCGTTTTATGCTTTTGCTGTGCACCTTGCTCCTTACGTACGACGAGAGCAAGTTTGTTGTACATGCTGCTCAATGCGATGCTCCAACTCATGCACATGATCTCCTCCGTAGGACTCCAGATCAGAACTTTCGACTTGCAGTCGAGCTTTGAGTTCACGATCACGAGCCTGTACACGGGTCGCACACTGACGATCTTACTCGAACCGACGCTGTGACTGATCTGTCCTGCTGCTCGTCGAGCTGACCGGCACGCGCGACTCAAGATTGTGGTTACAGGTGCACCCCTCGAGCAGTCAGGCGCACGAACATCGTTGTGCCAATGTCTGGGCGTTCAAAGGGCGAGAGGAGGATTGTGTTTGATCCCTCGTGCCCGCTATCCAGCAGGCTTGCGAGTCACCAGCACTGCGGTCGACAGCGGCTTGACTAGATAGCGCTTGGAGCGTGCACGTTGAGCAGCAAAAGTGGTCCCACCACTCGCTTGCCTCGCAAACACGAACACCCCCGGGATCCGGACTTTGATTGGAAGCGAGTGTACCAAGCTATCGGAACGAAGATGAGATGAGATGCACGATGGACACGCCCTTTCGCCGGGGGGGGGGGGGGCGCCTCACGAGCGACTCCCCCAAAATTCCGCTACTATGCTTTCGTGTGCACTTTGCATTACTAAATGCGTATCGCCCCGTTTCGTGTAGAGGTGGTGGCCGTCTTTCTCGATTCGTGAATGCGCATGCAGCAATCGGTAGAGCATTGACTCACGCTGGCCCGATTATTGCAGGAGCAAGTATGTACCGTGCTGCGGGCTTATCGCCGCATGTTTATCCCTCTGATACGTAGAATGTACCACCGCTGTGACTCGTCACCGCGCACGGGCGGGCTATGTACCACTCTGACTCGTTTGGTCGACTTGGCAATCTCTAGTCCTTCAAGGCGCACCAAAGCGCAAATCCGCCTTGCTGCCCTTCCATCTACTGTACACTGTGTGTCGCAATTGAGATTCCTGTGAGGCATTAGTGACTGCTGTGCACGGTCCCAGCTAGGGTCGGGCGAAAAGATCAGGCTACTGCAGGGGCAACTTCCCGTCCCTGAAGGCCAATCAACCCAATGAACACGGTATGTCTCTCTTGAATTTTGTAAAGTAAGCGACAAAACCTCAGGCTTGCCTGGCACGTAGCGGTCTCTTTGCAACGATGGCCTTGCGCGGCGGACTGGATGAAGGTGTGCATCGTCAATCGTGGATCGCAGACGCTTGACCCTTCGAACTCATTTTTGCCTTGCCCCCATCCTCATCAAGAAATCAGGCGGTGCCATGCGCTCCCTCAACGGAGAACGGACTTTCGGCACATTCAAATTGCGCATCCGCATCTCCGCTCACGCGCTACACCCTGAACCAATCATAGCGTCGCTGAATCGACTTCACGCATCGCTCGATCAAGTCAGGTGTAACGGCACCGATTTAAGCTAAAAAATCGGTGGCTTGCTCTGACATCCTTTAATTGCTAGAGTGCAATATATGCACTTGAGCCATGATGGAGCAGCCCTAGTAGTCCTAGCTCACCCCGCATTTCTGCTCCAGAAAAGGCCGCTTTCCGGAGCGGAGGCCTTGGAGCACGTCAGCTTCGACTGATCATGGTTATAGTCCGACCTATCGGTGTGGACAAGGTGATTTACAAAATCACCTGCTGTAGTATAGTCCTTCCGATGAGGCGATCATCATGGCGCAAGGTCTCATGTTGACCGGCGCTTCTACAGCTATAGCGCTGCTGTCTGTCTGTCTGCTCTTGCCTGCTGGCTTTGCTGCGATCAGATCACGAGCGGGCGGGCTGCGAACGCGCTAGCTGTAGCCCGTACCTGTCCGACGCTGTGCTGCTGGCGGCTGTGCGGCTTACATGGAGAGCCACCGCAAGATGCTGGGCCGATCGAGCTGCGACGCCAAGACGATCCTGCTGGCGAGGCAAAAAAGCGTCGGGTCGCATGGGTCCACTCAACTCTGATGCACTCAGACGATGCCTGCTGTGTGAATTGTATGAAGCTCATCTGCATGATCATATGCTGAGCCGCGACTATACACACTAGAACTCGTGGCCGTGTGGCTTGCGAGCTCACGTTTGCTCGCAATTAACAAACCCTGGCCGCAAATTTGCGAAGGAATTTGCCCGCCCGGAGCCGTCCCTGCGCCACTCTTGACTATGCTATAGACGCGGGCCACGCGGTTGCTTCACTGCGCATGGTGACTCTGGCGTCGCGGTGCTTTCCTACGCAACGTTCTCTGAAGGTGCGGTACACTCACGATTGAAACGATTCACGATTCTCTTGAATACCCTCAGACGTGGATTGACCACGCCTCTTTTGATTCCAGTGCCGAGGCGGATGCTGATTTGATTTGGGTCAATCCGGAGACGCACTCCGCTGCTCTGTTCCTATTTCCGTAGCGTAGCGTCTCTGCGGACGCGGTGGTCCGGAAGTGGAGTGTGAGTGCAAACGAGTCGTGCAGGATCAGCAGCAAGCGCTCGAGCACCAGCATATGATCTGCTGTATGTAGTCAGTCAGTCAGTCAGTCAGTCAGTCAGTCAGTCAGTCAGTCAGTCAGTCAGTCAGTCAGTCAGTCAGTCAGCAGTGATCACAAGTACGTAGCTAGTCAACCCGCGCGCGCGACGAACTGCGCTGCAGAAGAGTCAGGATTGAAATTCGTGATTTGTGCGATGCGGCTCGTCTACACGCGCGAGTGTCATGTGCTGCACGCGGCTGCACATGCGCAGCAACCACCAGCGCAGCAGGAATTGATGAGCGCGTACTGTATACGGGCACGACGTCCCAGCAAAGCATGCTGCATGCACGCATGCGCGTGGGCCCGAACGGCGCTCTGCTGTATTTTGTTTGTTGATTGGATTAGGCGGATGAAACGCGTAGAGAACCTGAGACATTGTCAAGCCTCAACACGCGAGCGAGAACGCTTTACCGTAGAGTAGTGTAGTGTAGTGTAGTGTAGTGTAGTGTGACTCACCACTGCTGTATATGCGTACGGTACAGCTAGCTTCGTAGCTTGGTCACTCACGATACTGACCGGCCTGTCGGACGGGCTCGACTGCTGACTTGCACCCATAGCGTGGTCGTGCAGTCTGGCTTCCTCGCTAGACGCGTGTTCCTTCCAGCCTGCAATCCCAAGCTGAGGAGATACATAGAACGCTCCACGCTTTTGGAAGGGCTGTGCCGAGACGTTTCTGTCAAAAGACGGTACCGTAATGTACCGGTCGCCTTGCATACGGTATCGATCGAGGCCAAGGCGCAAAGCCTTAGCCGCTGCAATAGACCTCGGAGGGGGAGGAGCGGCGAGGCCGGGATTTCTTTCCAAAATCATTTGCAGCAGTGGGCCAGCAGCTGTGCTGCCTCTTTATCCGCGCGACGAGTTTTCAAGCCGGGCTTGCGAGGACAGAACCTATAGCTTGACTGCGTTTCTACGGTCACTGAGCAAGCCGCCTCCTACTTCTGCAGAACTGCCACACGCGCCCATATTCCGTCGTTTGCGAGAGTGTACAGGGTGGTGCTGTTAGGTTCTTAATTCCTCATGTTGCTTCATGCGCGATTCCTGGAACATGATCGCGATCGGGTATTTGGCCGCTCCGCGCAGCCATTTTGCGCCCAAAAGACCGGAGCGCTGCACCGCAATTGCCGAATTGCTTATTGCTCTACCGCCCTATGGTCGTGATCGATCGATCGACACGCGACTGCAGTAGCGCACCTGAACACTCACTCACTCACTCACTCACTCACCCACTCACCCACTCACCCACTCACCCACTCACCCAGCTGCAGTCGCCGCGGTCACACTGACTCGGTGCTGCGTCCATGCAAAGTGCTGCGCTCTTCCCAACTTGGAGAGCAAGGGCCCGCAAGACGGATGCGCCTTTCTGCGCACATACATCTGGTGCACTAGTGCTGCTATGTTTGCTGTATACTGACACTCTGACTGCAGAGTCGCAGTGCCTGGCTGTGCTTCGCAAGCTGCCCTGTCGATCTCTTCTGCGTTTCTTCATGCACGCGTTCAGGCCGCTTTTCGAATCGCACCTTCGC